GAGGGGGAGAGGGGGAGAGAGTTACTGGGTTGGGATGGGGGCTGAGATAGGAACTAGGTTACTTCAATCAAGGGTTTGGTTTCGGGTTCGTGGGTGGTAGTTCTATATACGGATCGGTTCGCTAAGGTCTATTCTAATTCAAGGTCGAGGGCGGGATTGTCCGGGCTTGAGGTTGGCTTGCTGATGCGCTTGGAGGTCTTGATCTTGCCCTGTGTCACTCACACACGGACTGTTAGTTTCTGCATCAAATGCATCGCGCCTAGGAGCTCACCTTGGCTAAGGCCCACAGATACGGAACGTAGATCACTTCGCTTCGCGCCTCTGCGCCGGCGTCTCCGTCTCCGTCGCCCTGCACCTTGACCCAGACGTTCCCCATCAGTAACCCTGTCAGCAAGCTCACCCCCATGATGGGGAGGATCGCCACGAACGCCCACATGATCGCGTCCTTCCCGGCAGCTCGGACGGCCTCCTGGGCGGCGGCTGGTAGCCCGTTGAGTAAGGAGAGGGAGTCCTTGTCGTGCACGTTTAGCGTTGTGCTGCTGCCACTGCCGCCTCCCAAGCCCCGGATGGCCGCCGAGTTGCCGAACTTGTTGTTGAACACGCTCGTCATAATGGTTAGGCCGATGGTGCCGCCGAATGGAAGGGACACCTGCATCAGGGACATGGCGGGCGCGATCTTCTCGGGCCAGATGCCGGCTGTGTGTAGCGAGGAGGGCACCAGGCGCAGACCGATGCCCGCCCCGGTCACAACCATCATGCCGCTGAGGAGGCTGGTGTTGCGGGCGCTGACGGCGTAGGAGATCACTGCTAGACCGACGGTGCTGAGGATCGCGCCGAGGGTGAGAGGGTAGAATGTCTGTCGGGGGAGGATGTTGCACATGTAAATGGCGAGGTAGACGCCCCCTGGAGTGGACTGTTAGTGACTGTTGGTCAGACAGTACGAAGAGAGACGCTGTACAGTACCTCCTAGGCCCGGGATGTAGTAGAGAAGTTCGAGGCCAGACTTTGAGGCCGAGTACCCGGCCACAAGAATGTAGTAGATGCTGACGAAGTAGAAGATCGAGTACGAAGCTGTCACGGTCAGTGATCACCATCCCCCTCCCCTCCCCCCACCCCCCATAACCTGAGAAGTCGGTGTAGGACTCACCTGCCCCCGTTGCAAAGTTCAGTATCGCGAGCCAGATCGTATCTCTGCGTTCGAACAGACTATAAGGCAGCATCGCCACATGTCTGGGAAATACTCTCGCGCACAGTCGGCCTGGCTCGAGCAGATACTCGTAAAGGAAGAATACCACGAAGCAAACCGCACCCACGATCAATGGCGCCAGAACCTGCGGGGCCGACCACGAGTAGGTTGCACCTCCCCAGGTAGTTGCCAGGATAATGAGGCCCACCCCAAAGATAAAGAGAACCGATCCTCCAACGTCCACCGTCGCAAGAGCCGGAAGCACGGACGACCACCTCGAGCCCTTTTTGAACATAGACCCTTCAACCAGATCGTGCCGCAGCAACACGTAGATCAGGATATGGCTGAGTACAGCGATCTTTCACACGTCATCAGTAAACTCGCACTGTCCAGAGGGCAGAACCTTGCTCGGCTCACCGGAATCGGAATCACAAAGCAATATCTCCAGTTAGTCTATCCAGGTCAGCAGCTGGCCCACACATACGGACACTGTCGAGCTCACTTGAGTCAGATACCTAGACCACATGGATTAGCAAACCACCCCCACAGAAGCAAAGACAGAGCATACCCTCCAACAATAGGTCCCACAGCGTATCCGACTCCCCCGACAAGCGTGAACAACGACTTATTCCTTGCGTTCTCCTTCAACGACACCTTATCCGCCAGGATGATCATGATCAAGTTTCCCAACCCCGCGGATCCCGTGCCCTGCAACGCCCGGCCCAGCAGCAACATAGCCCACGTCTGCGCAGCCGCACACAGAACACTCCCGATGAGCATGAGAAAGAGCGCCAGCTGCAACACAAAGTGCCGGCCGAAGACATCGGCGAGCTGGCCAAAGATTGGAATGAAGGTCGTCGACGTCAGACTGAAGGCCGTTATGATCCAGTTCAACTCGTCGAATTGGTCTTTCAATTCCGAATCAGTGCCGGACGGGAAACAATATGGTAACAGGCTATATATGATCTAACCTACCGAAGTGCGATGCAATGACAGTCGTCGCAGTAGCAACGATAGTCAGATCCAGCGTGGACAGGATAAAAGGCAGAGAAAGACCGGCGATGAGTCTCAGCCGGTACATGCGCCGCTGGTACTTCTGTTGCTCGCAGATACTGCATTTCTCGGTGATTTCTGTGCCAGTTAGCTCTTTGACTGAGTCGGTGGTCGACCTCTGAGGTGAAAGTTCGACGTCTTGGTTGGCAGAAATAGGAGACTCGAGTTGATGCCATTCCGGGCGATGCGGACAGGCCTGCTTTGGTGGAGCTGGGACCAAGCCACGTCTCTTGTTGTAGACGTATCTGATGGCGGTGAGAATCATTTCAGCAGATATAGTAGTATGAGTTTTTGAGCGATGGCAAAAGGGACGGCTCTATACGCGGACGAGGAGGTATCATGGTGGGAGCAAGCACTTATATAGGTCGTGTCTGTGCTGACATGAAGCTGCCTGGGGTGAGTCCATTTTTCCCTCGACAATAATCCGTATTTCAGTCAATGTTGCGAGTGTATGATGAGGTTCGGGCCGATGACACTTGCTGGAAGAACAATCTTCGACGATTTCTAGAAAATCCCAATCGGGCAAGTGTCACGGACGGGGGCGCCGCGGGACGCCGTTTGATTCACCCGCATGGTTTGCCCGATCCGGGAAGGGTTGCGAAAGGCTTAATTTAACTCAGCCTCAGCCGCTTGGAGCCTCAACCTACAGGCAACCACAGCCTCATACCACCTTCGTACTTGAAATGCGAGAGATTTGCATTTGAGTTTTGTTGCAATGCAACCACTTTGCACAACAGGCATCAGCTTCTGAAAAGAAGTCCGGAGCACGGTTGACAGTATCCTCGAACGTCTATACAAGTGACCGAAATGAGACATACTTAATGTGAGTCGGGCGAATCCATTCCCAGCGATTAAGAAAAGACACTCAAAAGGCATTCTAGGACTAGGGCGTGCGCTTTGTTCTACAGAGACTGGACACCGGTGTAGGCGATTGTTCATCTGTTCATCCGCGTAGATGGGGCAGGCATAACACACAGAAAGCCAGCCCTTATCTTATCGCTATCGCTTTTCATGTTGATAGGATGACCTACCCAGGCAGAACGAACAGCATTGCAACGAGACGAACGACGAGTGAATTGCAAGACATATTCTGCATGAGGGCACTAGCTGGATTGTCCGCAGCCATCATTCCCTCAAAAATCTATTTCTACAACAATTCCTCCTGGTGAGGAGGAGGAGGAAAAAATGCAAAAAGATGGTCCCAGAGGGGCTCGAACCCTCGACTTTAACGTTATTAGCGTTACGCTCTAACCAACTGAGCTATGGGACCCGGTTGGTTGAATGTCATGACAGGCTGGAACATTATAAACTAGTAATTGCGTATGCAATGTTACGAGGCCATCGGAAACGTCTCGCATATAATAAATAAGCACGAGTACACGACTGATCCAAACCCCAATCTATCTTTCTCATTAGTCCGCGTACCACACGCTTCGGTGCTCCGAAGCAAACAATTCCAGCGTCCTCGGCGGCCTGCCGATCACCTCCTCCACGGTGGCATTCATGCGCGTCTCGAATCCCGTGGCGGCGGCTGTTTCCAGGTTGACGAGGAAGCGCGCATAATAGTCCGAGCAGCCCGCATGGACTAACGCTTGGTAGCGCTCCTCGCCCGACAGACAGACGTGCTTGACGGGTCGCCTGAGAGCCGCAGTGAGTTTGGACGCCACCTCATCGTACGTCAGCAGCTCCGGCCCCAAAACCCGATAATCACAGTTCGGGGACGCCGGGCTCGTCAGCGCGTGGAATGTCACCGCTGCGATATCGATCCCGCTGACGAAGGGGATCTTGCCCTCTCCGCATGCGGTATAATTTTTTCCCTGCTCTCGGATCAGGGTCGCCGGGCCTTCCTCGGCGAGATTCTCTGTAACCACAACGAAGATCATTAGAATAGATTATAGAATGTTAAAGGCGAGGGAGAGGACTGAACGGACCCATAAACCAACTCGGTCGCAGCACACAGTAATCGACCCCAGGTCGAGCAAGTGTTGCCATACTTGCCCCATGCCGGGTCGCGAAGGATCCGCCGAGCTGCCCGCCACGAGGACAAACCGACTGACTCGGTGGTCCTGCTGGGCGTAATCGATAAATGCATTCATCGGCACCCACGACTCGGCCACCAGCGGCTCCATCAGGTAAACGGCCGAGAAAGTCTCGCCGCCAGGAAAGTCATATTCGCACAGCGCCTTCCAGGTCGACGGGTCTAACCAGTCAAACTGGACCACGGGCATCCCGGCCGGGGCGTTGAAGAGAGCTTTCCGCGAGGCCAGCAAAAGGGAAGATTGGCATTCTGAAGGAATCGAGCGAGGCGTACGGATGTTTTGCCCGTACCACCCGTCAGCAGGATAGCCATGATGATTAATGGGAATGGAGTGTAGCGGATAGAGGAGGAAGAATAGTACTTATGCAGTGTCCTGTCAGGGTACCACCACCTAGTACGGGCCTAGGACCTCTGTTTGTAGGCATAAATACCCCTCGTTGCCAGGATGATCGAAGTGGAGTTTAGCGTTAATGCCGAATGAGACCCTTTGTCGAAACAAACTCCGTAATTAGATGATGCGTGAAGGATTCAGACGCCGGGGCCCGGGAGAGAATGTTCGTGACTGAATTGAAATTATCTGCATCGCTTTAGTTTCATCGACTCTGGTGCTGGGGTTACCGGGGGAGGGGAGGGGGTCCGTTCCCATCATGGAGAGAATCTCAACGATCGACTTCAGGGTCAAGGTCGGAGCTCCGTGCACATTATTTTCAATGAATTCTACCCATCGCTCGAGAAATTGACGGCGATGGTGAAACGCAGTCAAAATATCTCGTACCTTGCCTCGCCGGTCGATGTCAACCGCGCGCCACGACGCCCCCGGGGAAGAAAGAATGCCGCATTTTCAAACTGTGCTCTCATCACCTCGATGGGCCGGACGCAAGAATCGTGCTGCGGAGCACGATGCAAAAGGCGGACGTTTTATGTATAGGATGTCTCCGTTTCCGTTTTCTGAGCTTCACGACATCAATAGCTAGGCTTGCGCAAGGAGACACGACGAACACGCATGCTTGAATAGTGAATCCAAGAGTCAGACGACACATTGACCTGGCTCATCATCGGTGCTGGCTCAATTGGGTAAGTAGTTCCAGCATCTATGACTTGAACTTGGAATAATTACATCGATCCACTCGATGATCATGATCCACCGGCTGATTCTCCAAACAAGGAGCTCATGACTGCTGTATGGATGGCGGAAATGGGTATAAACACCTGCATTGTGGACAACATGGCGACGAGAGCTCTGGATGTGCGTGCGGTTGGATTCCATATCAGGACAGCTGAGATCTAGGAAAGTTTTGGCATGCATGATGTTCGGTGCCCAAATTGATGAATGGTTTCTTTGGGATTGTCGCTCTGGAGAGCCTTTTGTCTTTTCCGACGGCACCCCAAGTCAATAGCTATCATGATCGAAGGCACCCAGAAAAGACTATTGTCTGATCAGACAGCAGCGGGTGGGTATGATAGGATTGGATGTCTCGAAGTATGCGTCCCTGAGTCGGCAGATACACCAAAGAAATGATGTATCTTACGCCGAATGTATGATAAAAAATTTTGCAACTTGCATCAGGACAACACCGAAGCTGCCCTGCTGCGTGCCACTCGGTACCGATCGTGTCCCAAGTCGAACGAGGTTTGGTTCCTACTTCGATTGAAGCCGATAAGGTCTGTCAGGAGATCCACACATATGCCGTCAAGGTGGATTTGCAGCACCAGCATGAGATCCACATACACAATGTCCCTCATCCTCTTGCTGAGATTGTAACATGCTTACATTGTATCTGCAGAAAGACGAGCAATAGAGCGAGATAGCTAGCCGTATCATCCGATGGTTAGCAGTCGAGTCGGGAAGCGTGTACTTCACTTAGAGCTGTCTGAGATGGACAGCGACAAAGTGATATAACCTTGCAGCACTAATATGACCAACAGATGCAAGCTAGACTGAGGCGATTATCCTTGTCAACAGTACCCGCCTTCATATATCGCTCAATGGTGTTGTACATGCAAGGATAACAAGGACCTCAGTCGCTACGTATCTAGGATGAAACGAAAGCTAGTGATCAGGCAACGGCTGGTCAACGCCCGCTTATACAATATGCGATATTGGAGAATCAACAAGTGCAAACAGACAATTAGCCCCCCTCGCATGCTTTAAAAAAAGGCTCACAAGCGAGCAAAAGCAAAAAGGATAATCGGCCCGAGCCGCGGATCGAACGCGGGACCTCTCGCAGATATGCTTGGGTTTGGAATCCCTAAGCGAGAATCATACCACTAGACCACCCGGGCTGAATTGTTGAAGGTGACTCCTATTACGCACATATGAGGTAAGACATATTTGATTATAACTATGATCAAGCTTAACCATGTATTGGATGGAGGAATTTCCTGGGAACCAGGCCTCTGGAAGACTTCTCCCTTCGTTTCAGCTTACGATTGACCAGATTACGGAAGATAGCTGCCTTGTTGCCTAAAGTTTGAGGCTTCTGGTACATACATACATGCCACCGGGCTGGAAGCGGTCATGGTATTTATACATTTCGCCGGCTATAGGTGGACGGCACAGGTAATCAATCACCGATAGAATCCTAGTATTAAGGTTCGTGGTATCATAATGCTTGGCCCCATACCAGAAGAGCTAGGGCACTGCAGCTGTGTTGACAGCCACAAGCAGGCGGATGGCTAACTACACGTGCCAAGTTGGGACTGGCAATCCCTTTGTTAGCCTTCACCCCACGACAACCCCATCCACCAAGTCGATCGAGATGAGGACCCTTCGGTCTGACTTCCAAATCACAGCAATCATCTCCTGCTATCCTCATCTTGCTAAGAATAGCCTCCAATATATGGCTATCTACCCCGTCCACTACAGAACCCAAAATCAAGCGAAGGCCATAATAGCCCTAAGATGGCACCGCGCGGTATAAGCCATCCATTCGACTTTGGACTCCTAGACAGTAGGGACTTTTTATCCCCAGCAGTTTGATGCAACTTTATCATAATCGCTATAGATAAAAAAAAAAACTCAACCCTGACTACGGTCTCCATCGAAGCTTTCCCGATCACATAGAGAAAGAAATAGGGTTTGTCTACCGCCTAGTGAACAAGCTTCTAACCCTACCAAAGCACGCCCAACATTCCCTCCAGAGTGTTTTTCCAGCATGAGGGTAGTTCGAGCAGTTGCTATCTACTAAGTATCTTAACTAAGAAAAAACGTCACCAGCTCATACCGCACCCTAGAAATGACCACAATGCACATTGTCCCTCGTATGGGGGTACCCCTAAAGCAAAGCCCAAACTATGCATTGTTAGATCAGGCTATCGTTACAGGAACAATCGATGAAAGCCATTCACCAAAACCAATGTCAAATCTCCCATGAACAACTCATATGCCTAACCTCCAGCTTGAGGACAATACGGAGTCCATAGATAAATCCTCGAGACACTGCCCGCATATTCCCGTTACCAGAAACAGACCGTACCTCTCCACCCATGGACACGGAAGCTCTATCCCTCAAACATTGTGGATGATGACCAACAATGCCATTATAGAACCGGCATCTTTATAAGCATCCTCCCTTTGACATCCCCTCCAAATTCTTTGTTCAAACCCCTACACGGATTCTAACAAGGAAATCATTGTACAGTAATGACAAACTCAACAAGAAAGACTCATTTCCGAGCACGTAAACCCCCATCAGCATGTAGCAAATAATGCAGAAAGAAACTTCCCTTTCGCAGACTATAAGAAACGTCGATCATCTTGGGCATGCGCCCTCTGCAACTTATACTCATATAAACAAAACTGCATTATACTTATTCGCCTGACACAAACACCGAACCAGCTCTGACGACTGAGTTGCCACGGGAAATAGAAACGATCGACTTATACCACTGAGGAGAGTGGTATAATCATGGCGGCTCAGATACGATTCCATAATGGCGGGAATCGCAAACCCTACGTCCCCAACCCGCTGTTTCGAGGGCAGGCCGCCAAAAGAGGCGGGTGCGGGGGCGGTAGAAATGGTTCGGGCAACAACAACGACCGGGGCGGTGGTAGAGGCGGGTTCAATAATAATAACAACAGAGGAGAAGGTGGTGGTGGTGGTGGTCGCGGTGGTCGCGGTCATGACAATAACAAAGGTGGCGGTGGTCGAGGTGGATTCAACAACAACCACGATAAGAACAAAAACAGAAACAAAAATGACAAGAACGATAAGAACAATAAACGGCAGAGAAAAGGGAAATGGGGTCCCCCACTCCCCGACCCCAGCGAATTCGACCAGCGTACGGCCAAACCACCGGAGAATTGGGGCTTCGTCAGCAGTAAGGCCCCTGAGCCCGAGGATATTTTGATGGAGGATGCTCCTCCGCTGGAGTATTCGGATACCAGCATGGGAGGCCTGTCGGATGGCAGCGAGTCGGATACCTCGACGGCGAGCTCTTCGGATTCAGATACTCCGGGGAGAGGACATGCTGGTCCGGGTGCCTCGAAGAAAGGACGTTCTGGTTCGGGTCCTGCGAAGGGGGGACGTTCTGTTCCAGATACTTCAAAGGAGAAACAATCTGCTCCAAGGATTCCGACGAGGAAAGAACAACCTGTACCAGACACCTCGAAAGATGAACAATTCGAACCTATCTCATATACCACGACAAAGGAAGACCGCTCCAGCCCAGGTGCCCCAGAAGACGAACGCTCTTATTCAAGTGCCTCGGTCAGTGAAAACTCGGATTCAGATACGGATACCTCGGTCAGCGAAAACTCGAGTTCAGCTACAGATGTCTCAATAGGTGAATCCTCCGACTCAGATACGGACGCCTCGTTCAGCGAGCCCTCGGGGTCAGAAGACTCCATGAGGAGTCAATCGGACGCGGATCTGGACGGATGATGACTAGGTTGGAGTTTTGGGGCGCTTTTCATCACTCTTTCTGTGGGTGTATGCATTTTATAGATGCATTGCTTGAACTACCGGCTGAGGCCTTGTTACTTTTTTTTTGGCGTTTTGCTTGTCGTGGACTCGGATGCCTTTCTATTATAATAGGGATTGGGTCTTTTTGAATATAGAGCTCATATATATCCAGCGTCTTTTTCTTGTTCTTTTGTCTTTCCTCGATCTTAGAAGTAAGAACTGGGTAGCAGGAGTAGTTCAAATGCTGCTGTGTAGAAGGCAAGCATCAAGCCAGTTATCCGTTCATATAGCCGCTGTCGAAGCTAGTGCGCATTCAGATATATACAAACAACAATTTAGAGGCTGGATAAACCTGCTATCATGTTAGACTACTACCCCCGCTTGTGCGCCTAATCGATCCCGCAGGGCGCCCGGGCGCTGACCTCACCTCATTGGATGGCTTTTTACTATAGCTATAGTTCCAAAAACAAAAAGGAAGACAACCAAGATACTGCACCTAACGAACCTAGTCGATGGTTTTGGCCAACCCAACCAGTGTGTTTGACCAATTGCAACTCAACCCAGCAGGTAGGCCCACGCCAATACATCTAGAATACAGACTAATTTCAGAGTTCCCGGAGTATTGGACCAGCCCCAGTAATGTGGGACTGCGTGTTACGCCAACCAGTCTATGATCTATGCGTGCAACCGATGTAGCCAGGTAGAGCTTACGGTTTAGTGCTTACGGGGCCGCACCATCAGACCAGCATCTTACCTCAATGTACCCGTACTTAAGAAGCAACTTCCATGCTCACCAGCCCTGAGTCTTTTCTCATCACCCAGCTTACACCTAACATAAAACCACCTACATCCATCTACCCACGTACCCACCAAGAAACCATGGCTACCAACGCAACCACATACCCAGTCATCGTGCTCATCCACGGCAGCTGGCACTTCCCATCGCACTACTCAACCTTCACGACGCAGCTCCGCGAGCGGGGACACGAAGTCCACGCCCCGCGGCTCCCGACGATGAACGGCGCACGACCGCCGACGGCCGACCTCGAGACGGACAGTGATTTCATCCGCGCGTACGTGGAGGGCCTCGTCAGCGCCGGCCGCGAGGTGATCGTGCTCATGCACTCCTACGGCGGGCAGGTAGGCACCAACGCCCTCGCGGGGCTGGGGCGGCCCACGCGGCAGGCCCAGGGCCTGGCCGGCGGGGTCGTGCATTTGGTGTATATCAACGCGTTCGCGGTGGTCGAAGGCACGTCGATGGCGGACGTGGTCGAGGCGCACGGCAACAGCGATCTGATGCCGCTGGCCTTCGACTTCGCCAAGGACCAGACGGTCATGAGCCGCGACTTTAAGAAGCTGATCGTCGGGCCCGGCAGGCCCGACGACGAGACCGACGCCTACATCGCCGCGTTCCGGCCCCACAATGGCAAGGCCTGGTATGATAAGATCCAGCACTGCGCGTGGCGTGAGGTGCCCCGGATCACGTATATCCAGACGACGTTGGATATGAATGTGCCGATTCACTACCAGAAGAAGATGGTCGAGACGCTAGAGAAGGAGGGGAAACAAGTGACTGCTTGCGAGCTGGAGACTGGCCATTGTCCTACCTTCACAATGCCGGAGGAGGTCGCGAAGATTGTGCATGAGTTGGCGGTTGAGAATTGAGCGCTCAGCTGGTTGGTTGGGTTGGTTGGATGTTTGGGGATTGGGCTCGTTGGGGTTGGTCTGGCGGTATATATGGTACATCGATCGGGACATGCGTTAGTTATCCTGGCGAAAGTGAAAGCGACCAACTGCCCCGCAGCTGAATGTTGGGACCTGCATGTAACTGAACCCATGCTACTTCGGTAGCCACATTCAACAATTGGCTAATTCCCCAGTCCTAGTTCTGTGGTTACTTTGCGGCGTGTACAACTCACATTAGCGCTTACTATGATATGGCCGGTCGGACGACGGCCTGTGACCGGGGCCACCCGCCCCAAAGCACCCACCCATGGCAGTGATGGCACCGGCATGCTTGGGGCTTTTTCTAGTATGCTGGGCAGAAGCGGGCCGCGACTGCCCACCTGGCGCGGCGCATGCGGAAGCCGAGAACGAATCCCAATGTAAAGTGGCATATCATAGTAGTCTTTCTGCTCTGGTTGTCCGCGTGTAGAGTCTGACATGTGCCCAGATCTTTTTGCTGTTCTAGCGACCGTTGGGGCTGCAGTTAAGCGACAACCAGCTGGTGAATGGGAGTTCGTGCGCGCCATGGCAGAGTTCTATTGCACGGAGCCGGAGTGTTTCGTGCGAAGAGGAGTATCCTCGCCATTGATGGGTGGGATGGAGGAGGATTCCAGTCGGAGGAGTACTGTGCGTATAGGAGACATATTGAACTGAAACCTGCAACTGCATCATGATATCCGAAGGACGATGGTCGAGAAGTGCTGTGGTGGAACCGATGGGAGAGAAATTGATCAATGAGGATGATACCTGGCAGTCACTTGGTATGCAACCTCCCGTGCGTCCTCAGTAACCCACACAAGCAACTGAGTTATAGCACCATACCAATATCACATCCCTATACAGAAAGGGCTGCTTAGAACTAAGAAACAAGCAAATGTCGAATCTGATCAGATGTCAAATGGAAGCACTATCTAACACAAAAGCGACCCATGGTTCAAGAACCGTCAATTACGTAAAGAAGTAATGACGACTTCATGACTGAGCTCTATATGATTCAAGCCTGACGCAGCGCTAGTAACAACTGAGCCTGGATGGTCGAGTTGGCAGTCCTCGTGGCCAAGTTGGTTAAGGCTTCACGCTTATAATACGAAGACATGTACATGTATCGTATCGTGACGATCGGCGGTTCGAGCCCGCCCGGGGACATTCTTTTTTAAATTCCACTGCTAAAATGGCGATACTTGCTTGAACTTGTCCTCCATTTCGATCTGTTTGATCAGGTCTTGAATCCTTTCTTTTCTTTTTGTTTCGCAAATTGGAAAAACGTGAGAGGTACCGATTGATACAGAATGCGTCGATGTAGATCGCGATGCGCGATAATCAAGTCTTTTTGCTAGCTTATGATTCCTTCTTCCCTACTACAGTACTTACTCCTTAGGCGAGCTACCCCCGTTTTGCATACGCACCGCCAACCGCTCCAGCATCTCCTCCCTCCATCCCCAGCCAAGAACAAAGGTAGCACCGGGTCCCAGAGCGAACGTCGAAGCGACGCACGCTCCAATGGCCTTCCACCAGGGAAACGAACCCTCAGACCCTGATTGTCGCCGCTGCTTCAACCCCCGGAACCTCAACGCCAGCCAAATATACCCACTAGCCATGGAGATCACCTGGTCGTACTGCAAGAAGCGGGCGATACCCTGCGCGAACGAGGTGACGGGCGTAAAGTGGTCTGTTACACCAGGGAAGAAGATATTAGCCAGGGAGGTGCCCCGAGGCTTCGTGAGACGCGCATACATGAAGGTGAGACCGGACACGAGGGCGAGGGTGCGATAGAAGACCCAGATGGTGCGGAAATTCCGTCTCAGCTTCTTGAGCTTGACTTGGGGGTCGGCCGGGGGAGGGGCTGGGAAGAGGCGCTTTGCGACGATGGCGATAGGGATTTGCACGAGAGGCACCGTGACGGGGAACAGTTGCCAGAGAGCGTTGTACCAGCGGCGGGTCTCGACGGTCCCGGGAAAGAAATTGGCGTACGTGGTGAGGTGGTAGCTACTAAGCAGCGAGAACAGCAATGAGCCCGTGGTGGACGGGTCGATGGTGCGGTTGTGGCCGGGAAGGATGCGGCTGAGGGGTGCAGTGATGTATTGTGCTGCGTAGTAGATAGGGGCTATCATGCCGATTCCACGAAGTTGGAAGGCGATCCCGGCGGTTATGGCTCTATAGAGATTTGAGTTTGGGGGCTGGATCAGAAGGGATGGGTGGACGATGGACGATGCTTACAGTAGGACTCTGTACCAGGATTCTGAGCTGCGGAGGCTTTCAAGGAGCCAGATGCCGTATATCGGACTCAGGTCAGTCATGAACGAGAGCACCTGGAGCCGAGTTTGCGGGTCACTTCCACTGATAGACGGTAAAAAGCAGAGGATCATGGGACGGAAGAGATTGTCCAGGAACGGAACGTGGTAGACCGGCTTTGTCAAGTCAATGGCCTCGCCATTGCGTGCCATCCATACTCCTTGCTTGATTTGCGCGAAAAGGAATGGCAGGGCCTGGTTGATCACGGCTCCCATGGTTGCGCCAGCAGAAGCGTAACAGCCCACCAATGGAGCAGTCCAGAGGGCTCGTTTCCAGGCCTTATCTGCCGGCGCGTGGGGATAGCTGTCGGTGTACGGCATGGTGCACTGCAATGACCTTGCCGGCGAGGCTCGCAGTCGAGCTTGACACCTCCAGCTATATTCGCTGAGTTGATGTCAAAAAGGTAGCGGCCCATGTAGGGAAGTACCCAGAACGCAATGAACTTATACTTTGGGGACGCCAGAGCCTCGACACGGGTCAGATCGCGCGCTGCGGAATATATGGTCGGTAGGCGAACAAGTTACGTTGTCTCCCAGGTCTTCAGGCAGCGGTGAATATCGTCGACAGAAATTTTCTCCTCAGACGAGTGTCGGACCAGAGTGGCAAGGCTATTGGCAAGAGACGAGGCGCTCTCTATGGCACTCATCCCACCTTGGCCCAGGTTAGGTGTCATCTGTGCAACCCAGAGAAGTCAGCGACCATTATACGACTTGGTGCTCTCGGCTCCTCATACCTTGTAGATTGAATCCCCAATACACACGAAGCGGTCAATGCACCAGTGCTTAAAGAGGGCCTCTTCTATCGGGACCATAGTTCGTGACACCGATCTCTGGAGCAACGCTGAGAACGGTACGGAGTCCGTAACCGGCTTGTCCAGGTAGGCCGCGACGTGCTTCTCGAGGTCGTCCTGGCTGTAACGAGGTGTTTCGTTGCCGGTGTAGATTTGATCCATCTTGGTGAAGAAGTACCAATAAGCTCGCCCATTCTTGCTTGAGATGACCAGTAGTGAATAGTTCTCGGCATATGTGCGATGCAGCATCCCTGGCTCCAATCCCGGGGGTGGCGCCGAGATGCCAAACACACAGTTATATTCGGATTTCATTCCTGCGCTCGATGGATGCCAGAATCAGTGGACGGACCGGCAACGCAGGTAACCAGGGCACATACTTGTTCTCTCCTCCGCTGCCTCACTGATGAGTCCACGAGTTTCCATGTAATCCCACATCCGATGCCGGATAGTACTCCTGACACCATCTGCACCCACGACCAGGTCTCCCTCAAAATTGGAGACATCCCCACAGTGGACAAAAACTTTCTCGGGCTGGTGCTCCACCTCCGTCACTCTCTTGTTGAGGTAAACCCAATTTTGTGCGGACCCTAGATGCTCGTATAGAATCGCGAGGACCTCTTGGCGATCGAGAATTGTTCCGGGGTAGCCATGCCTAGGTTCTGTCAGATGGAGAAGCGACCGCAGCATAAATTGGAGGTGAACTGAAGAGAGTGGCCTACCTTTCTTGGAGGAGGCGTAGATCAACCGACTCGGTGTTTCGCTTGCCGCTATCGGACCAAATGCGCGCCTGTCGAAGCGGCTCCACGAGGTTCCAGATGTCATCAAAGACGCCGATCTGATCGAAGATGCGACTCCCGTTCGAGCTGATACCAATAGAGGCACCGACCTGAGGCGCAATATCACCATGGGACTCCAAAACAACAAATTCAATGTTATTCCGGAGGAGGCAGTGGGCGAGTGTGAGGCCGGCGATGGAACCACCCACAATGACCACGCGAAAGTTGTTTGACTTGGGTTGAAAGGTCCACATCATGCTAGGTAACCAGTCACCTGGTGAGGAGTAGTGATCTGGTCTCAAGCAGTCGTGAGAGGGGAAGAAAATGACAAGATATTAAATACTACTCCAATGATTTAGGGGCTCCACTTCGAGCAGCGGCGGTATTTTCTTCGTTTCGCGACGATCGCGAGGGCATGGGCACATGAAGCTTTTGTCGGTAGAAGTGAGCACTTTCACTTGGAGAGACAGGCAAGCTGAATTAGGCCGATAGATGTCCGCTCGACTCCGCACGCTAGATAGGAGGTAAGAAGTTGTCCGCAAATAGCATCATCCTGATAATTCCCTCCCGCAGGCGTTGCGTGATTGCCGCCCATCCAACAACAAAGTGTCAGCCATGCGCCCCTTTCACGAACCCGATCTATCGTATTATCGCAGATTAAACGAAACCAAGATCTCCCAGGCCCGCCATGTGAGCCAGTCGCCTTACGACAGGATATTACCATGCGATAGGATAGTGGATTGGGTTTATAATCAAATCAGTTCCAGTCATGACGAGACATTGATACGGCAGAGTCGGATCGGGCCAGACCAGCAGACACATTAATGAAAGGCGTTGTTGTTCACAGGCCTCCTGTTCTTCGGACCATGTGGCGAAGAAATTAATCCGCAGGAGTTACGCTTGGACGGTCTGCTGTCCGCATACACGATAGTAGTTCGCAACCCGTTGGGAATTATTGGGCCTTTCCACATATCCATCCATGCACGCACTCACTCACTCATGCATGTCAGACAAGATCAGTTTTCAGCCGTTGTTGTCGGAAGACGGGTGTGAAAATGAACTAGGCTAGGGCCTCCTGAACTTAGGAAACACAGCCATCAGCACTAACTCTCCCAGGCTCCACCCTAACGACATGCGGCTTTGGCGCTGGTAATAGAATGAAGCGCAGCTGGCCAGCTCGCCTACAAGGCTTAAGCCCGGTCTAGGCTGTCCTTGGCATACAGCTCGTGGAATGAGGCCGAGATTTAGGGCTCGTCTCGGGTTGGTCTTTGATCTGACATCTACAGCAGTTTTATCATTTTTCCACGAGTTATCTGGTTGGTTAGAGATTCTGGAGGTCCAGTAAGGACGATGAGAAATATCATTGGGTTTTTCAGTGCAAGCCGGATGGTTAGATAGTGTGGAAGGGGTTCTCGTGGCGTGCACGTTGATATGTATGGCGCCTAGGGGTCAGGGCTCTTGATCGTGGAGCGTTGCCGGCAGTTGGAACCGGAAGGTTGAATATCCATGGTTGGTGAGCTTGGGTGTAATATTTGCTGATATTGGCGAGTATGCTGAAACAAAGCATCAATTGGCCGGATGGTGTAGTTGGTTATCACGTATCGTTAACACCGATAAGGTCCTGGGATCGAGCCCCAGTCTGGTCATTTCTTTTTGCTCCTCCTGCCTGTACCCCTACAGGCCGGAGATACACACACACAGTACCCTCAGGAGTGGTATTCTGAGTATATGCGTCCGAATCACTATCGAGCAGAGCATGGATCTGACATCCATTGTCCGAGGCGGCAGCCCCGCCATTGCTGTGTTGCGGATGCACTCGTTTTACTGCCCTAAGCGGCGTATTTGTCCCCACGGCTTGCTTGGAACATCACGGCTATTGCGGCTGCCCACAGCAAAAGTGATCATTGGCTAATGACAAGTAGCATTACTGGTCCTAGGAATTCTAGAAGCAAAAACATTGTCCCAACACCATCAGCGATGGTGATCATGCGCGTATGACAGCAAAAAGGATGACCAGACTGGGGCTCGATCCCAGGACCTTATCGGTGTTAACGATACGTGATAACCAACTACACCATCCGGCCGCCTTGTTGTTGCTCTATTCAACATAATGCTCTCTATTCAAAAACAAAAGCTCTGGTCCTTGCCCTAGGTGAATCTACAAGATGCTGTTTCATATAGCCGTTTTCATTTCGCTCTCGGCTTTGTTTCACTATGGCATTCCTCGGTTCATTGTTCTCACATCCTCGTTAGGCATCTTCAAATTCCCCCTCTATACATACATGCAGCCGTTAACTCTCCACGTCACCGTTGCTCGTGCGGACCTCGAACCATGGATGGATATATTTTACGCTCAGCTTCCGATGGAGTGATGGCGGAAAAGTCGCGGTCTGTTCTATCACGGCACCATGGCGCCTTCCCGTCACCGCGATACTTGCACCATGGTATTATTGGCACCTCGATCCACGATGTCCGCACTTTGTTGCATCGGGGGCGTCTTGTACCCCAGTCTAGCGTAGCACGTCCGACGGCTCCATCAAGGCTCTGCGAGGCGATTCGCGAGAGGGAGGAGATAAATGAGGGTGTCGCAATATGCCCGTCGTACTTCACCCTGCGACCGTTGTCTTCAACCACAATCTCTGCAGCGGGCCTTGATATCCAATGGCATCCTCGTCGATAGACTAAAAAAAAGTGCCGGTCGTCGTCGATTGGAAAGTCTTTCCCCAAAAGCGAGATTCAGAGCCCGACGCCGACAACAAGGGCTCGACCAGGCAGAAAGGGGGAGGTGGACAATGGGAGCAGCTTCAAGGTGTCGCCTTCTCGAGCATTGGGTCTGACCGGAGGGCGCCACCGAGCCATCGCAAGCGATCTGAAGCGATGAGGAGGGATGCTACACTCCTGCAATAAAGATATCCATTGTACCAAAGCGCCACGATTAGGTCCTACGGCGCACAAGGATAACAAGATCAAAAGTCACATCTTGAAAATGAGTTCCTCATTTCGTCTTGATTGTCACTGGAAACAGCATCGCTCCCACCCATCGCATATGGTGCCCATCAGCGGTCTAAGATTGCTCCATCATTAGCCGGCAGACAAAGCCGCGCCAGAAGGGAAAACATTCCCAATGTGGACTGATCATTATATTAGGAAAAATAAACGTGGAGCTCCCATCTTCAATACAAGTCCTGGTTATACACCATACTCGTTCAACCACGAGAGCAAGCAAAACCGGAGACCTGCCTCTGGATCCATATCATATTGTTCAGCCAGTACTTCCAATTGCTTCCGTGAAAGAATCCTCCGAGAATGCATCCTCAAAAGACAAGTTAGCGGACAAATATGACTTTTTCCTTGGAACCCGAAGGGCTTAAACGCCGGTCGTTAACACTCGGATCGCCGCGAGAGCCTGGAACCAATGTTCCCATTTGGTCTTGTTCTATCGGCTACTAGTAGCAGATTCAATTTCTCAGGGCCGGCAGCATGATTACTTGAATTGTAAGCCTTGAAGCGGAAGCTGCATGTCACGCGCGATAAGCACAGCGTTAGTACTTACGACGCTCGAGAGCCCTGCTGGGATGTAAGCCAAGGTCAATACATTCCATCTTGCTCTTCGATCTCGGGCGTATTATCCTCGAGACCTGAGTTCAATGCTGACCCGGGATACATCCAGATGAACTTGTTAACAGCGGATGATATTACCCACCTACCATACCAGTCCATGGTCCTATGTAGTCGCAAAAAGAAACGAAAAAAAGATTTGATACCTCCGATGCGGGGAATCGAACCCCGAGCTGCCGTGTGAAAGACGGCGATGTTAGCCGTTACACCACATCGGAAGAAGTGTCTAAATTATAGAATTTATAATATCATCAGCGCTGAATAAGTTGCTTAGCTACCTCTCGAGGCTATCTGAGGGTTTCGCACAGTGGACCGAGAGTGTGAGTGCCCCGCCAACCGTGACCATAAAGCCTGTTATCTCGCTCATGGCGCTCTAGGCATGAAGCAAAATCGACTGGGTGTCGGACGTATATACTGCTAAAGAGGAGTGCGAGTCGGTGAGGCCGTTAGTGTAAATCGACCCAGAGACGTTGGGGATTCTGCGGCGGATGAAGAAGTATGCTTCACCTGGACCTTAAATGGGTAGGCAGCACCGGGTGCTCTGCTCTCTGGGAAGTAGACGTCTGTACCTAGGCGGCTTTCCGGCAACGAGAGTCGGCAACGAATGAGATGCTCGGTCCGCGGGTGCTGGAACTGCTCTGTTCCGAATATTCGGGGTGTTGTCGTTGGGCATGCGAGGTTTAAGGCGTGGTAGTCTTGGGAGGCCGGCTTGCTGCTACCACTGGTGAGAGCTCTGCGAGGCATCATTAGAGGCCACCGGTGTTGGAATCAGACATAGTGCTGGAAAGGTCGGTCTTACGAGGAGGATAACAGGTGATGGGGGGTGATGATGCTATTATAAAGGTTGAGGTAACAGAGGAGCAGAAATCGGAAGACTTGTGACTAGACAGAGGTATAAAGGTAAATGGAAGTGTTTCTGAGGCTGGCCGAAGTGAGCAAGGAAAAGGGAGTGTGGACTAATGTATAAGTTGACGTGATGGAAGATTGTCCCCCGTCTAAGATCGCGTAACCATGGGCCCAGGATTACCTCAGTAGCTGGATTCATAACTATGCGAAGATTGAGTCGAGATTGGGGGAAAGTATAAATTCTCAAGAGTACAGCATGTGAGACGGCTTACGGTTGCTTATATCGAGTCCACTCCCGAGCATTCACTCTCATCAACGGATGTAGTCATTTTGCCAATAATGTGCAATTAATTCATGTTCCTCCACCCTCAATTAGTTCATCTATAAAAAATCCAAGAGACATCGGGGGGTATAGCTTTCAAAGAAACCGAAAGAGTATTCACAAAATCCGTTATGTCCAAACAATCGCTTATTTTAGTCAAATGACATCATGTGGATTAGAAAATAGCAACAACAAAATCATCGAATATGTTCGTATCAGAGCTCCATCCAGGGAGCTTGCCTGAGGGTGCTTCACTCGAACTCTTCGGACGGTGCATTGGCCAGAGCACTCTCGAGCGCACTGGTCAAGTCAATGTGGAAGAATGGCCGGTTGATGCCCTGCACCACAGCCACCTTTCGCCGGTTCCGGTAGGCTTTGCTATCTTTCAGGTCGTGATGCAATTTGTCATCGGGAACGCTGCTAATGTCCGAAGCCTCCTCAACGCCTTGCGTTTCGCGCTCTGACGTGTGTCCCTCGTGCTTGAGGCCATCCTCGACGTCATGCCTGTGAACGGCATGCTGGGCGTGCTGGGCATGTTCGTTGTTGAGCAATTCGGCATGAGCGGCAGCGGACGACCGGCCTTCGATCTCGGCCACACTGAAGATCGGCTTCCAGCGGTGGAACCCGTTGTCGGAGTTGGGGGTCGGGAAGCCGAAACCTGCGGCCGCCAGCGCCCGCTTGGTCCACCGGTTGTTGATATGAGCGAAATGCCACTGCACAGCGCGAGGGGCCGCATAGAGGTCCAGTTGGTTGCGCACGTCGATCAAGTTCTGGATGGATGTCACATCCACATTGTTAACGGACGAGAAATCGAGAACGATGGCACGGAGCAGAGGTCGTTGCGAGCGCTGATCTTCCTGGGGGGTGTTCTTGCGAGGGCCCGGTTCGTTCCATGGCCGATCGCCTCGCTGATCGTAGGAGAACGGGGTCGTGCGTCGCGTCTCCCGGAAAATGGTCTGGACCAAGTAGTCGGTGTAGTGGTTGGCGTTCGGGTAGTTGAATCCTTCGGAGAACCGGTAAATGAAGATACCGGGGTACGGCTGTTCCAACTCCACATCGGGGTTGGAGCCGTCGGCGTGGTTGAGCGGAAGGAAGATCGAGCGGCGAGAACCGTCCTCGTCACTGCCGGGAGAGTTGGAGTTGTTGCCCGACCCATACTTGCCATCGCCCTGCACAAGGTGGTCGCCAATGACCGAGTGGATGGTGACGCGGCCGAGAAACTGGCCACGGGCTTTGGCGACACGGAACAGAAGCACTGCCACAGAGACACAAATGGTGCAGTAGATACCATCCTCAATAGACGAGAAAACAGTGACAAAGACACCGATGAAGAAGATCAGCGCATCGATCGGTGAGACGCGCCAGAATTGGTAGACGGTGTTGGGAGGGGTGATCAAGTCTCCAACAGCATGAATGATGACACCGGAGAGGGCGGCCTGTGGAATGTAGAAGAAGACGGCGGTCAGGGCATAGATCGCAAGCAGCACGACGACAGCCGTGATAACACCGGCCAACGGAGTCCGGACACCAGCCTTCGACTTGATGGCAGTGCGAGAGAAGGATCCAGTAGCAGGGTAAGCACCGAGGAAGGGCCCGAGCAAGTTCGAGACACCGATAGCGACGAGTTCCTGGGATGGGTCGATAGTGTAGTTATTAACGCGACCAAAGGACTTCGAAATGGCGATGTGTTCGATGAGAAGGACGATAACGCAGGCGGGGAGTTGGCTGGCGAAGACTGAAATAACCTCAGCATCAACGCGGGGAACACGGGCATCTTTGAAGCCTGTCGCGATGAGAAGCAAGGTTAGCTTTCGCGGTTCATGTCGGGAGCCAGGAAAAAGAACATACCCCGTGGAACTTTGCCGATGACATTGAACATAGGATCATCCTTGCGGTGTAGGTTGACAGCTGCACTAATCATCGTGTAGAACAGAATAACAAAGACCGTACGCAAGGTCGAGGCGAAGAACCAGACCTTAGCCTTCCGAGGGTACTTGCGAGCAAGGTAGTTGCAGCCCGAGCGGATCATGTACAGCATGGCCAGGGAGGTCACTCCCAGAGCAGCGTCGATGCCAGCGGAAGGCAGGTGTTTGAGCGAGTTGATGATGATCATATAGGTTGCATCGCGAGTGGAGAAAGATGCGGATTCGCCGAGCAGGTTCTTGACCTGACCAGAGGCGATGTTGAGAGCCGAACCAGTCATGAAAGCAGAGATGGCGGGCAATGGGATGAAATCCACAATAAATCCAAGGCGAAGCAACCCCATAGCACAGACAATAGCACCGCAGAGAATAGCCAAGCACGAGGCAACGACGTGCCCCGGAACATCTGGAAGCTTCTCCTCGGCATCGAGAACGATAGTTCCAACCAAAGTAGACATAACAGCGACAGGCTAGACGAAGAAGAACGTTAGTAAGATCTCTTTTAAGTCGACCGCGACGCAGAGAAACATACACCGATGGTGATATCTTTGGACGTCGCGAAGAACCAGTAGAGGAGGACACCCATGAAAGACGAATAGAGTCCATACTGAACAGGTACTTCAGCCAGTTTGGCGTAGGCCATTCCTTGGGGAATGACAACAGCGCCCACAGTGATACCTGAACATTCCGATTAGACCCATCTCAAAGCATGCATTCTGATGAGGAACTCACCAGCGACCAAATCACCCAAGAACCATTGTGTATTGTACCTCGTGATCCACGAGAGGAAGGGGAATAATCTGTAAAAGTACCGAGCTACATCATCCCAGCTAGGGGTGATTTCCTTGAACCATTCAGCTGTGGTCGGCTCCTGCTCAAGATAGGAATAGGTGTCGATAGTGCCGTAGGAAAAGGTCGATTCGCCTCTGGTAACCGGATCGGCTTGGGCGCCCAGGGGATCCCGGTAGGGCGTCTTGATCCCCAGACCCTTGGCCAGCCCATGACCGACTTTGGTTGTGAAGTCTTTCGACATGATCGGTGTGGTCGACTCGGGTGGCGATACCGGCGAGCTTGATAGAGTAGGGCTAAAAAGTGCCCGGAACCACTAGATCACTCGGTTCTGTTGGGGGCGCGGTAGATGGAACACTTGCACAGAAGATAAAACCGAGGGGGGAGAGGGTCCGATGTATATAAACTGGGAAAACACACAATGTCTCCAGGGATATTAATCCAAATCCCAAAGCAGACCTGGGGAGGGAGATAATATAGTCGTAGTAGTAGTGGAGGCGGGAACAATGTGGGCTTAAAATGGGGATCGGAAAGCCAAGAAACGATGTCGTGATCGCAAGCTCCAAACGCGAAATATCAAAACTGCCCGCCTGAAGCGTCCAGGCTCGGGATCCAATCCAGACAATTGATGAACAAGACAAAGCTAACAATTAAACTAAATCCAAGGGCCGAGGATGACATCCAGGTCCTAGAGCACACTAATAGGCCTGAATCTGCTTCCCAAGAAATCACAGATATTGAATGGTGTGGCTTGGGTGGCGCACGATTGGTAATTGGGAAGATGCAACAACCACCGGAATCGGGAAGGCCGCGCGGGCTGTACACGGAGAATGAGTAGCAGCAAGGCTGGGTATCTATAAAGCCGGAAAAAAGTAAAAAAAAAAAAAAGGAGAGATGCGACTGTTTTATGTGGATAGCTTCGTCACAGAGTAGCGGGTGACACACGACTTCGTCGCCCGTGGGAGTTGATGCAAGCCGATCATCATTACTAGCACAGGCCCCAGAGAGGCAACCGGGCAGGGGGGAGGAGGGGAAACACTAGGATACACGACGGTTGGCGATGGACAAATTAGCATCGACCAGCGAGGAAAGCATTCATCAGCAATTCTAAACACATGGAACACGCAGACCATGGAGGCAGCTGATCCACCCGATAATCGCCAAGGGCAAAGGTAGGCCAACAGCGAGAGGCGCGCCGTCTAGAAGTTGATGCAGGCCCCGAGGAGATCCTTCATTAGACCTGCATGCGTGATGAAAAAGGACCAGGAGGGATAAGCTTGTCAGGAAACCCAGCTGGCCTAAGAGAACCGTTTCGGTGGGTGGTCTGGAAGCGACGATGACGATGAGCCGTGGAGTAGCAACGATTCCCGCCCACCAGCGGGGCTTATGGTTAACCGTGGGTAACTTTATCCGGTTCGGTGGACGGTGAGTCTATCTCGTGTAGATCCCTCGATAAGTATCTCAGTTGAAAGAAAACGAAAGAGGGAAGTGGAAGAGGAAGGGTAACTGAAAATCTGAGACCAGAAAACGACACCATGACGAGAGAGTGTGATGGAGGAGATGGAGGAGGTGTTGTCAGCGGGGGTGAGGAACAAGAGTCGAAGGTGGAAAAGTCTCCATCAGATAATATTGCCAAGGCAGACCGCCCACCGACCGAGAGCTCTCTTACCAATCAGAAAAGACCCAGGGCCATGGAGACCCTCACCGGGGTGGACAAGGCAAAGCCAATGGGAAGAGCGGCAGAACGCGCCATCGCAGGGGGTGATGGTGAAAAAGGGCTGCCGGTCCACGTGTGGGTTCGCCATGACGAGTGAAGTGACCTCGACCAGCATCCATGATCTCTCGTGTTCAATGGTTTTACTCAGTACCCTGATAGATAGATAGACAGACAGACACTTAGACATACTTTGGTGGCTGTCTTTTTAGCCTGTTTGCTTTCAGCACATGGCAACTGCCTTTGTCACAGGATCTGCAACTCAACAAAAAGTCTTTCAAACAACAACCTTCGCTTGGCTTTGCCGATAGGTCTTGGCAGGCCCCGGGGAGTACGTAGAAGTACGTAGAAGTACGTACGCATCGCACCCCTGTAGACGGAGGCTCAGTCAGCGCTTTCGCTCGTCTGACTTGATCAGGGGGAAAGGGTGGCCCTGATGATCATTATTCTCGTTCGATCCAAGAACACACCTATTCTACATTCTGCCCATGGAGAACGAGCTCGAACCGGACATTTTGAGGGTCGAATTCGTCGTCTGCTGTGGGATGCCAACACCAAGCACATTAAGTATACTACTTAAGTATACTACTTAAGTGTACTAGGTAAGTACGGCATGCAGCCGGGCGACCTGGATGATCCTCCAATAAATCATTCTCACTCATGCGCGATATTGATGTCAATCACACCATAGTCAGTTTCTTCTGCAGGGCCTCCTTAGCTACTAGCTACAGTAGCTACTTCCAAGCCCCAGCATTGCGCCATCAATCTTATCGTGGTGACATTTCTCCTTCCTGCAGACACCCGGCTGGCCATCAAGAAGATTCCAGCTTTGAGCATATGGCACCCATGCAGCCATGACTTGGTATTGCCCTTCTTCCCTTTTCCACACCCCCCCTCAGAGTTCCCAGCCGATCCACTCGAGACCTCGCAACCCCAAAGCACTGCCAATTCCGCCTTCAGTTTTAGATTAAGATCTCGAAGCTTTCCCTCCGTCAGGCGGGCTGCTCCACCACGGAGAAACTGTCAAACTCCTAAAGTAGATGACCGTACTTCTATTTCAAATTCATTGCTATAGTAAGTAGTATGAATAAATCTCTGCCGAGCCACCCATCCCTTATCCACGCGTCCGCCACATCAATTAGTATACCCCGAAGGAACGGAGTCCTGCAGTTTGGCCACACCGGAACTCTCCATTGTCCCTCGGAGATGGAAATTCCACCCTACCTCCCGATCTCGGACATAGAGCCCATGATCATTTTCCGTCGATTAGTTCTTCTTGCCTCGCGATCGCGACATGCTAGCCTAGCCGAAAGTCAGTTAGAGGACAGGGGAGCATTGCTCGGTTGAAGTGTCCCAGGCGACGGCGAACATACTTTCTTGGAACATCGCTGACCCTGACCACCAATCCTTGGAAGTCGGTTGGCTAGGGAGGCCTAGGTCTCTGCCGTCTGACACGAGATATCTTGCCTCCTTGAACTGTATACCGTATGCAGACTGCCGAAGAGGTGCTTGCGTCTCTCGCCAGGCTAATGCCGCAGCTCATGGCTACAGGTCCCGTGTCTGCTAGGAAGGATGGAAGTGCCGGTATGCATATGGCGTAGCCATCATGTGCGGCTAACGGTTGTGAAGCCGTAGCAGCCACAACTCTGGGTTCTGGGCTCATCGCTGCCAGGGATGGCGTTGGTACTCAAATCAGCAATCCCAAAAATCAGTCGGGACAAAAGGCGAGGAAGTAACGGGCAGTATTCCTCCTCGTGGAAGACAAAAGATGCACTCATCAATGCTCGATCTGCATGCTTCCACCGACCCAGCACGGGCTGACTGCAAGACGCTGTCCAAACCAAACAGAAATATCATAAATATAGTATCATGTATCACGACAGAGCATGGGGGCATAGCAGCCTCCGCGCCAATCCATGTCAATCTGTCCGCTGCCCACTCAACCCCAAGTAATGACCCTGGATCTGCTATCTGTCGGTGACTTTCAGTCGGCAAGAAAGGACGCGAAGGTGTTTCCAAGGGCTTCAGCCTTCTACAACAGCGTGCATGAGAGGACACTCTCCGGCAATGCCATCCACTAAGTCACCGTGCTCCCAGCATCGCAGACAAGCCCGTCCAACGAGACGCCGCCACCGAAGGGAGTTCGTCTAAAGAGGTTCCAGAACAAAATCCCTCGGATCGTACAACCTAGACCATGACCTCCGGCCCTCGCCACAAGCAAAACTAAAAGTAACCAGAACAAGGCTCCCTCGGTTGCGAAGCAGAAGACCAACCGACCAACCAACCAACACAGACAATCACACCCAAGCTCATCCCTCAAGCGCCTTGGAAAGCAATATGCATAGAGATGGGAAATTCGCCGTTCCTTCCTCGCACCTCACAAAGACAGAGGTTGTGTGATGCACAATGAAGCACCCGTATTACCTTGTCTGTGTGATTGGCTCTCGATTGCGCTTCCCTTGTTGCGTTGCCGACGGGATTAGTCCTCAAACATAACCTTGACATTATCACGCAATCACCAGCTACCGAGACGGGAGCCTTTCTTGTCAATTACGGGCAGCTCAGACCTCTCGCCTGAGCCAAACGATACGAATCAATGTGCGCTATCGCCGAACTTTGACATCAGGGAGGAGTTCTGCCTCCTCGTCTTGTCTAACCTCCGTATCGGACGTGCCTCTGTCGCGCATCAGAGCAAGAATGCCAAACATCGATAGTGCGGCACAGAATAAGCGCAGACCCCGAACTTGATTCTGCAAAAACCGCTCTAGGGCCATCTAGCAACCTATATACACCGCGCGTTGCATCCGCACCAAGATGTATAGCGATGCACCTGCCCCCAACATATAACTATACCCACTAACAGACATATCGCATGGAACCAGACAAACAAACCCAACCCTCAATATCTCCTCCAGAATCTGTCCTAAGTTCCTTAGGTTACTTTCATTTCAAAGGCCTACCCAGCCAGCCAGCCCACAGCCCTCATGCAAATCCAAATCCCCATCCAAACCCACTTCACCCACCCAGAAAGCAAAGCCCAACACCCTGACCCTCAACATCCCACCAGCACCAGCACCAGCAAACCCAGATAAATCACCGTATCGACGAACCAAGCCCGAACAAGGCCAGCAAGATCCAACGACCCGGAAACCGTCCATGAACCCGACGCAACGATATCCCCACCGCAAAACATCCCCACCAAGACCGCAACATCAGCTGCTAGCCCGCATTCCAATCAAGAAGGAAGGATTGAACGACAAAGAATACATTCATCGGTAACCAGCCTAGCTTGGTGTGAGAGCCCTGGCCGGGGAGGATTCGGTTGGTCTTTTCGAATTGGGTTTTCACGTACTGTACCGTACACCCTCTGATAAGCCCTGTGCCAGGTAGGTCGGTCGTGGAGAAATAGCCGGGGCGGGCGCGTTGGTCAGAACTGAATGTGGGCTGGGGGTGATACCCACGGGTTGACTTTGCTACCAAAGGGGCGAGGGGGAGGCGGCTGTTACCCTGGAAGATCAATGTCCATCATGGTTACTACGTCAGAGATACCAGTGCAAGAAGGGATAAGACCAGTCACCCGATTTTACAAGAGTGGAACAATGCGGACACAGACGAAATGAACTCTGCTCACAAATAAAGCATGAGATGCATACCCAAAGTAGTGCTGGTACTCTATAGAACTTGGAAAAGAGAACACTCGACTTCGTCCCCTCTCTCAACATGTCCTTGCTATGGTGTTTCCCCGTCAGACACATGTGGATAGGGAAGGAACCGAAGGGGAAAGAAAGGGGAAGAGTGAAGATCACCCCGTGAAATGTCATGGTCTCATCAGTCTATTCATCGGATTCCAATCGGCTTCAGTTGCCCACAGAGAGTAAGAGTGAGATAAGGAGAAAAGGGAAAAGAGATCATTAGTTGTGGGAATCTCAAAGCGTCCTGATGGTGATGATGATGATAATAGAATGAAGAGAGATGCAAAAAAGGAAAGAGAAAAAAAAAATCCATTGTCATCTTCCGAATTCTTCAGTGCAAACGCCATCGCAAGAGTCAATGTCATCACATAGGAAACACAAAAACAGAACCGAGCAACAGCACCAGGGCAGAAACCCCCCACATGGTATCATAAGCGAATCTCAAGAAGCCCCAGCGCATCATCATCAGGCATCTAGTATTATCCACCCCCTGAAAAGATTTACTGAGAGGCGCACTGCACGCGCTCAGCACCAGGAGGAACGTCATCGTCATCCTCGTCCATAGAGTTGGCAGCTCCGTGGGCGCGTGCCTGAGAGTACTCGCTGGAGTCGATATCCTCAAGGTCGAAGTCCTCAACCATGGCATCGGCGGCAGGCTTGGCCTGCTCCATACGAGTAGGCAGGACCTGCTCGAGCAACTCAAGGTTCTTGAGCTGGTCCTTCTCGGGGAACTTGACATCGAACTGTATGTAAAGGTTGCCGTAGTCGTGGTGACGGTAGGAAGGCATACCCTGACCCTTGATGACCTTGATAGCGCCTGATAGGGATGTTAGCGAATGGCTCAATGCGCTCCGAACAAGGATACTAACCTGGGGTGATAACCTCGCCAGGGGCGATGTTAACGGTCAACCACCGTTCATCCAAGTGCTCAATGTTAATAGTGCCACCAGCAAGAGCGGTGAGGAGGTCGATCTCAGCCTGATAGAAGAGGTCGTCATCCTTGCGCTGGAAGCGGGGGTGGGGCTTCTGCTCGATCTCAAACACCACATCACCGGGCATCACACCGGGCATCTGGTCACCCTCACCGCGGAACTCGATCTTCTGTCCGTTCTTGACACCCTTGTCAACGTGGACGTGAAGGACCTTGCGCTCGACCACAGTCTTCTTGCCATTACAGCGCTTGCAGCGGTCCTTGTCGCGGATGATCTCACCCTCACCGTTACAGTCAGGGCAGACGGTCTGAAAGCGCTGAATCATAGGACCCATCTGGCGCATCATCGTCTTCATACCGCTACCGTTACAGCCCGTGCAGGACTTGACGGCACCCTCCTTACCACCGCGACCGTCACAGCCTGAGCAGATAACGGACTTCTGCAGGGCGAGTTTCGACACCTTACCGCGGTAAATGTCCTCCAGGTTGACCTTGTGAACGTGGTGGATGGTGCGGGCTTTCTTAGGGCCCTGATCGCGCATACCACCGCCGAACATGCCTCCGAAGCCACCACCGCCGCCGAAGAACTGAGCGAATAGATCCTCGGCGCCCATACCACCGCCGGCACCGCCATGCTCAAGACCCTCCTCACCAAGCTGGTCGTAAAGGGAACGCTTCTGGGGGTCGGAGAGCACCTCGTAGGCGTGGGACAATTCCTTGAACTTCTCGGCCGCTTCGGGGTTGTTTGTGTTCTTGTCTGTTATGAAGAGAGGATTCTGGTTAGGGCATCGAACAATTTCTAGAGGGCTTTTCCGACTGAAAGCACATACCAGGGTGATACTTCAGGGCACCCTTCTTGTAGGCAGTCTTGAGTTGGGCCTCAGTGGCCGTGGGGGCAACCTAACCGCCTCACAGTCAGTTTTGCGAGTTCGAGCAAAAACTCAATTTCAGCGAAGAAAAACTTACCCCAAGGGTGTCGTAAAACTTAGTTTCCTTGACCATTTTGATCTAAATCTGGAAAATATGACAGAGAAGAAAGAGAGGTTTGGCGAGGGAAGAAAAAGAGGAGTATTGAGCGGTGTCGAAACCAAAGAACTTTTGAGAGGGAGGAAAGACAAGAGGGAAGTTCAATCGGAAAGTCTACAGCGGAGGGTATGAGAGAAGCAGGAGTGAGCGAGAAACGAGGATCAGAAGCGCTGTCTTCCGGAAAACGAAATGCACACGGCCACGAGAGGTGGAAGAAAGGGTGGATGAGGGTAAGGGAAGGTCAAGAGGGGAAGAGAGGAGAGGAGAGAAGAGGGTGAAGGAACAAGACAATGTTCGGAATTGGATTATCAAAGCCAGGGAGCAGCAGCGGCGGCGGCGGCGGGCGGCGAAGAGAGGAGGAGGAGGAGGGCGGAGTTGGTAAGGTAAGAAAGAAAACAAAGATTACCGGTAACAGGCACCAAATTTGCCAAGCGTTTCGGACGATCTACTGGAGGTTTGATACCGGAGATACGATGTGGCGAAACTCCGGAAGTATAGAGATTTGTGGATTGTGGAAGCAAGAAGAAACGCAGGAAGAAAAGGACAAGGCAGGCAGACAACCAGAGACAACGGATCTGAATCCAAATGCAAACAGGCTGCTTTTGAACCAATTGAGATGCCCACGATAGTATCTTATCCCCAGATTGAAGGATGATGTTCTCGTGGTTTCGACTGCCCCGTCATCCGCGGCTTTTCGTGGCCCGAGCGCGCTTTGGAGGGCTTCGATGACTTTCGGTCTTCTTCCATCTCTTTCGATCACTTTCCACGGTAACAAAAGGTCGGGTTATCAGGCTGCTATGTTGGTAATCTACGTGTGCTTACAGGTCATTTCGGTGAATTCTTACTTGACAGGGGATTCTTGGATGGGTCAATAGTGTGAGGAGAACAGGTCATAGTCATTCATCATGGAGTTCCTCTTCTTCGAAGACAATTTTCAGAATCAATGCCTCCCCAGGCTTGTATGTACCTGGTACAGTAGGATACAGTACGCGAGCGCACCGCTGAGATAGAAGCCAATCACATCACGATCCCAGATAAATGATCTGGCAGAAAAGTCTTAAAAGGAAGAAAGGCGGTGCAGTGCTGGTAATTTGAGCCACGGGGGCGCGCCACATGCCACAGCCACACACACCTGGGCGCAGCTGCAGCAACCGCCTTCTCAATGAAGCCATATGGCAGAAATCTCTCAAAACGGAAGCGGAGACCGGCGTGACCCGTGACCACTGCAGGCTGCAGGCACTGCAGCACCCAGGGTACTGAGGGCTCAGCTGCACCAGCTCAATGCATCCAGCCAGATCATCTAGATAATTCAGCCCCATCCTCACCAGTATGGATCAACGGGAAGCAGGATGAGCAAGGCACGTATTGACAGCTGCACCGTATAGAATTGGGGTCAGCTACTCACCGACTCTCCGGACTTGCTTATTCCCCAACCCTTCGTCAGCAACGATTCCTTGATATTTGGCCGATCCACCCCGCTCACGACCCTTCCCAGGAGTAAGAAGACTTGCTATCAGCAGTGACAGTAAGCATGCTCGTCGTATAACCAGAAGTCAATACAAGTAAGACGAGACCCGGGGGCTGTCAGGCAGCAGATCCCGCATATGAAGATGTTAAAGGACCTAGCCGTCTCCCATTCGCGCAATGCACGCTTCATGCACTTGAATAAGCTTTGCGGGACCTGGAAGGAAGCACTAGTACGGTACCTATCTCTCATAAGGATTTAAATCTACTTAATGCGATTAGCTCATCCTCTGCAGAATCCAGATTGTCCGGTTTCCGATGCCCCAAAAGAGGGGAAGAGAGAGAGCTGTCTGTCTCATACCAGATAGGCAGCATATCAAGCGTCAGGGCTGTCTCTATCTTTAGTTAACCAAAACTCGCACATCGACATCATAGCCAGCCGTTGCTGGACATCCTGCCCCCTGCCCTGCCTTGTTGCTTCGTATAGACGGAAGTCGGGCTCGATGTATCTGACGTGGCTGATGCCGGATAGCTTCCCCGGACACGGCTGGTCTTTGTGATGGTCCATTGCAGTGCTTTGTGTAATCTACGTATGAGAGATTTACCCTCTAATTTCTTTTTCGATTGAAGAGGGGTTCAGTACAATAAGCCCAATGAGAGGATTTTGAACTCTCCTTTCTCTATCATCAGACTCAACTTCAACACAGCTTGACCTGACCAACTTTGACAACAACAATCATCCAAAGAGTATCAAACTCTATTTGATCCAACAGACCAAGACGGAAAACCCATATCCTTATATCAACCACCCGAGATATTCAAGATGTCTTCCTACACCTACGCCGAACACCTCGAGGAACACGCCAAGCCCCATGCAGGCTTCATCGCAGCCAAGCCAGAGGACTACTCACGGCCCCATGTCCTAGCCGGTGGAATGATCTTCTCCGCGGAGCCCTAGCCCCGCATTCTCCTCCTCCGCCGGGCGCCCGACAAGTGGTCCGCGGGCCTCTGGGAGACCCCCGGCAGCACCTACAAGGAGACGGACGCCAGCGTGCTGGCCTGCGCCTCCCGCAAGGTCTTCGAAGAGACCGGGTGCCGTGTGTCGCGCTTCGTGGATCTGGTTGCCCTCGACAAGTGGCAGCTGCTCCGGCCTCAGGGTGTGCGGTATATGGAGAAGTACATGTTCCTGGTGGAGGTGGATGGGGAGGACTGGGAGAAGAAGATCAAGCTCGCACCGAATCAGCATGATGATTTCCTTTGAGGAAGCGGGGGTTTCGCCAATGGTGCTCTGCTTCCTGACATGACAGGGCCTGCCTGCTGTCATCCAATGCACTATATTCTGATATTGGACCCACGCGCTCGCTCCTCTGGATTGAGAAGTTCAAATAGCCGTGGCTTGTGTAGTAACAGGTTGAGTAACAGTGTCCGAAATAAAGGTACTCCATTCATGGTAAGTTGAATCCGAAACTTTGTCTGGTAGACGTGATGCTGAAATTATTCCGGAGGGGTGGATGGCTTGTACAAAGTCTTGTAATCATGTTTCCGAGAATAATACAATGATAATATGAGATGTTGAGATAAAGAATTCCGAGTGTGTGATGATGTCGTTCTTTCCAGGGATCCACAACATGAGTCGAATTAACAGTGTTAACGAGTCCCGTCAACATCGAGCGAGTCTGTTCCTGAGAGAGGTGCGTCCGAGAAAGAGACTCACCTATATAATAAGTGCATCTTTAGCATCTTTTTTGGCAATCGCAAACATATGATCTTCGAGCTTGGAATTGGGCTTCATCGGAAACCACACACCGAACACCTGGTACTTCTCCGGCTTGAAGGTTCCTGGGACATGCATAACTTCGTATAGGACAAATTCGTTGTCTCTATTCGATACCTTGACTGTGCGAATAACCGGAGCTTCGTTCTTGTCCTGTTGTCCTCTAGGTGTTTCTGGTAGGACGCTGCGCCTGAACATGCTGATGCATTTCATCTCCGGATGAATCATGAGTCTCAATTCTCGCCCCTCCCTGTTGCAACTGTCGTGATCTAGGCCAATCGTATATGCACCAATTGCATATAGGGCACCAAGAGGATCATCAGCTTTGTCGGTTTTTGGCAGCTCCGACTTTTGGCCCATGAATTTGGAAATAGCGTTCAACGTGCTAGGATTGAGATGTGCCTCTTCTTCCAATTTCTGAACAATCTGACCTGAATACTCAGAGTCATTCCCGCATGATCTAAATGGCTCGACTTTGGAAATCATCAACTTGCATTTTGAGGATGCCTCCCTAGGCCTTTGATCTACTCTGTAACACACACCTCGGGACCAATCTTTCCTTATCGCCCGCATCATGTCACTCAATTCATAAGCACGAGAAATGTTGTGGTCGCGTAAGTAGCGTTTGCAGTCTTCGGCATCGCAGGATAGTGGACGGCTTTCTCTGTCTGTACGTCGAAGGCAGATGGAACCGTTAGTCATGGGAATGAAATTCCCACAATTGTAGATCGGTCTGTACAGCTCGGCTGCTGACTGGATCTCGTTCTTGTCGTCGAGATACTCAGCCGGAGCCCATAGCGCGGTTGAACTTTTGGCGCCGAAAATACCTGATGGCGCACAGGTGATGAGCTCAAATTCGTAGTCGTCACGTAGTTGCTTTAATGCCTTGCCCAGAAGACCAACTGCACTATCGGTGGCATAGTCAGAACCATCGAGCTTCAGCACGTCAACCCAGATAGACTTGACATGTCTCTCTGTTGAGTACATGACCTTCGTGAGGTCACCAGGTCCAACAAGTTCCGTCCGAACAGGTGGAGTGGGCCTTTTGTGCTTTCTCTAGATAGAGATTGCAGCTCTTCGCCAGCAAAGAACCTCATGGCAAAATCCTAGTTGGCCTGTCTTCGTTTGCCAACCGGAGCCCAGGCTGAGAAAGATTCTGCAGCCGGGCGATAGAACTGCACGCGCTCAAGCTCCACACAGTCTCGGATGATCTGAGGATTAAATTCCTCTAAAGCTTGTTGTGTCATTTAAGCTATAGCTTCTTCAGCGAAATCAATGTCGACCGAATGGGGTGAAGCGCCGTCAACGATTTCGACATTTCATCCCGCCACTTCTTGAGTAGGTCTTCTACCAATTGGCGCGAGTACAGAGTGTCGGTAGGGTTGTTCTGTGAATTGCCGCCACATTGAGACCACGCCTGGGTCCACTTCACCTGGAGACGAGATGCATAGTACATCTCCTGCCGTGGCCACAGTCTGTTGAACCAGGACGACATCGGCAAGATCCCGGAGCACTCTGTACATTGATTCCACGCTTTCTTCCAGGAATAATTGGACGAATCATGTGTAAAACCTGTCAATACTTTCAATCTTTTGACGAAACATTCGCAAGGTGCGCCAGGAAGAAGAGCGATTACTTTCAGGTTGCGGTATACGAAAGGAATATCGACCAGCGAATAGTCAACTTTGTCCTGGCCCATACAGAGCTGGTCCAGCCAACATCCTCCATGGACCTCGAATAGCTCTGCCAGGCATCTGATGAAGTCTTTGTCAACCCACTTTGGACCTGGCGATATGGAAACAATGACCCCGTTTTCGTCGTGTCTGATGATTCTTTGCGCATGCGGGAGTCGACCCCAGGCATATGATATCGCAACCGCTGCCGGTTTTTCGATCTTTGGGTTGTCTGGGTTCTCGAATCTCGGGCACTTCTGTGTGATGTGGAGGTGCTTTTTTGGTAGGCCAGTGCTCCCTTTGTGGGTATCAGAACATTTGCTGAAGTGTCTAATTACAATGCGACGAAAAGATTGGGTCGGTGAATTGGGAGAGCTCTGTTCAAAGACTGAATCGGGCATATGCGTCTAGAGACAGTGAGATCGAACAGGGAAACGGACGGACGGGCAGGCAGGCAGGCAGGCAGATAGACAGAGAATCTCAGTTGAGGGTTTTGCGGTTCTGCCCAAGCAGGAATTGCAGGTACTTAATACAGCAGGGAGCGCATACGAATTGTTAGCGGAAGTGAGACACCAACAGTGCAGAGTTCGTCCACAAGACTTGGATTGAGACAATCCGAAACTAATCTCAGCACCTGATTCTATCAAGCTACGAATATCGTGGGCTTGCAACCAAGGCAAGACAGATGACAGCAACCATCACGCAGGCCAACGCCCCAATCAGAAGTGCCACCATCACTCACTCACATGCCCCTGAAGCCCCAGTCTGTTCTCACATCGAGATATAGTGTTCGGACTCAGCCATATATCCCTCTGGATGCTCGGGCACTTCCTTGGTTGTTGCTCGGGTCTGCCCTTGTATGATGTGGGCGATAATCCAAGCAGCGATAGTCCGCTAACAATGATGGTATGCATCGAAGCACGTACAATGCCGAGGCTCGCTACCTACGAGTGGATCAATGGATCGGTGGCGTCTCTAGCGGTGCGTAGTCTAGACTCAAGGCTGCTTGTAAGAGCTCTGTGGCCAAGTCTCCATGGGTCTCCCGTCCAACAATGCCGCAAGATGTAGTCTGAAGGACTACGGAGCGACTCAGGGGAAGCGAGATATCAGCATGCCCATGGTCAGTTGGGCCATGGGCAGCATAGAATGTCTACAGAGGAGTCAATTTGGCAGGTGGGAAGTGCATCCAGGCCTGCAAGGATTGATTTTAAAGTTAGTATGAGACAAGGTTAAGGTGTGTGTGTTTCAAAAGGTCTCGATATACATTTCTCAGCTACGTTACAGGATACTGGCCAGTGGAAACTATACATAAACCAGAGTCGATAGGAAAAGTAGGGCTGGTCAACATTATTCCATGACTAACCATGGCGGGCTAAGCTAACCGCGAGCGCATGCTAAGCGCGCTCAGACCTCCCTAGTACAAGATCAAGCACCTCTCTTAGCGGTTCAATTATTCACGATTTTAGCCCCTTTCAAGCGCACTCAGGATAATCTTCAATTGGCCACCTGTATGTTCATTCGGCCTGGATATGGTGGCATAGCGGGCTATCAGTGCTTAACCCGAAAATCAGTCAACATGAACGTTCTACTCTAAGCCTCTATAGGTGAGGCTGGTGTGTTGAGCATACTAGTATATTAAGTCATCTCAAATCCTTGAATGACATCGAAAGTATATTCTTTGGCAGAAAAGTACTTTCTTTGTGTCTTTCAGTCTATATTTGTTGCTTGATCAGCCCGCACCCCCACCCTGGAGACCCACCTAGACGGATAATAAAGCTAGTTAAAGCATTGTGAGTACGGTAATATTGAAAGACCATAGCTGCCATGCCATGCCTCTGGCGAGGAGGTGTGGGACTCAGTGTCTAAAAATCCGGTATTCGGACGTTGCTTTGAATAGCCTTGACTCTTGGATCAGTTACAAAACAACAATAACTGGAAGTACAAGTAAAGAATATATTAGAATTCGTAAGATCAGCCTTACCCATGGGGCTAAAGTATTCAATTCAGTGTAGTGAGGTCTTGAAATGCGGAAGAGTGTATATACGGCCTTAGTAGTCAGCCACTACACACCACTGTATCAGTCCTGAGCTGTATTTTATTTTATGTGTCCTAGATGAGAATATGACCTATTATAGTGAACCACCAGTACCCCCAGGGGCAAGTGCCCTATTAAACTTTGCTGCTAAGGCCATGCCCCTTTTCTGAACCCGAGCCTGCGGTTTCCTGTAAAGTTGAAGACTTGTAAGAATACCGGGGGCGCATTGACAATACGGGGTCGGAAGGAAGCTTTTCGAAGCCCGTCCAAGGCGATCTAGCCCTCAGACCCAGAAAGAAAATGAAAAAACAGGAAGAAAGAAGAACGCAAGCAGGAAAGAGAAACAACCAAAGATTGAGGCTGCTGATCAATCTACCCGCTTGAGTTACCTCTTTGTCTTCCTGAACGTTCCCTCCTTGGACGGAGGAAGCCTTTAGTGCCTTTAGTATCCTCAGTGCACGCTTCTCCTCCAATGCTACATAAACGGGGTTTACTGGTGGACATATACTCTCAAAGGATTTATCAAGTCGCGATCTTTCAAGCCTTTCGAGTTCTTCCATGTCATACTCTCTCCAGTATCCGAGCATGTCATATTCTGGGTTGGACTTCTGCCTCTCTTCCCGATTCTTTGAAGACTTTAGGTGGCGTGCTTTCTCAGTCGCCCAAATTTGTCTGGCAAATATTTGGCTCCTTCGTCTGGACTGCTTTGAATATATCCTACCCTCCCTGGCAATCTCCAGCCTTGCTGCCAGGCACTCTGCAGGACTGCTGCAACCACGAGGCGGACGAGGCCAATCTGAATCTCTCCACTTCTTCGAATCCTCCAACAACATCAACTCGTCCAACTCGGTCCATTCGTCCGACTCAATCAAATCTAACTGCAGCTGCGCGTCATCCACAGGCTTTAGCCAGACCGGATCCATACCCTGCCCGAATTCTTGCCGAGCCTTCCGCACTCGGTTTCCCGGTGGAGACGTCGTCGCCCGTGCGCTCGCCCAATGTGTGGGGTCTAGAAGGCCCATCCCCGTCGTCTTTTTCTTCGGTGGGCCATCTTCAACACGTCGCTGAGTGCTTGATCTCGGAACTAACCCGGAAATGTCTTCTTTAGGTTGGGTCGCGTATTCGATCACCGCACTCCTCTCTGCTGTTGGTCAGAACAAGCTCATGCCGGCCGCGGATTATGGCTGCAAAGTCATACACGGCCGGACAGGTTATGTCAGGGACAATGTCAGCTGGGTGTTGGGCCGGCTGATGGCAGAGTTCGGGGCATGGGCGAATAAAGATACCAAGGAATAAACAAACACACTGGTGAGGAATAGTTGGAAAGAGCTCCGAGAAGACGATAAGTTTGCGGACCGACCGCCACAGGTAGGCCTCGTCGTCACAGTGTACAGCCCGAGAGCTGGGGGAGGCGAATCCGTTACAGTGGCGAGCAATAATCGGGTGAACTGTACCGCAATCGTGACCGTTCTGCTTCAACTGATATTTGCCATTATAACGTAATCGGTAAGCGAGTCGGCCACGTAAGCGAGTCGGCCACCCCATCAACCACCACCACGCCCACAAAACTGCCTGTATACAGACATCGATTTCTCCACCAAAAATGTCTCGATCATCAAAAGTTTCAGTGAAACAAGAAGGCAGGCTCTGCCTCGCAGTTAAGGCTATAAAAAAAGGTCAAATTCGCTCAATTCACAAGGCTGCAGATACTTTTAAAGTTCCGCGTTCAACTCTTCAAGATCGTTTGAATGGCATCACGTACCGCAAGAAAACACGCGCCAATTGCTATAAACTGACTCCTTTGGAAGAGAAATCACTTATTAAATGGATTATATCACTGGATCAACGTGGCGCACCGCCAAGGCAACTTTATATACGTGATATGGTATTAATCTTGATACAAAAACACAGTGAAAAATCAACCGATTCGGTAGGTGAAAAATGGGTGTATAACTTTATTTCTCGGCATCGTGATTCCTTAAAGTCTCGGTTTACACGTCAAATCAGTTATAAATGTGCAAAGTATAAGGATTCTGAGGTTATACAGGCCTGGTTTCAACGCGTACAAACCGCCGTCGCTACGTACGCAATTGCAGATGCAGATATCTACAATTTTGATAAAACCGGCTTTGCTATAGGTTTGGTGGCTGCGGCTAAGGTAGTAACATGTTTATTCTGCCGTGGAAGACCTTTCTTTATACAGCCTGGAAACCGCGAATGGGTAACTTCAATTGAGTGTATCAACGCCACAGGATGGGCGTTACCGGCATACGTGATATTAAAGACAAAGACCCATATACAGGCATGGTATAAAGGCAGTCTACCCTCTTCATGGCGTATTGCGATATCACCAAATAGGTGGACTAATCGAGAAATTGGTGAACACTGGCTTAAGGAACACTTTATTCCTTATATCAAGGACCAAAGAACTGGCTAATATAGCCTCCTTATCCTTGATGGACATGACTCCCATTTAACATCTTAATTTAATGATATATGCCGTGAGAATGATGTTATTCCAGTATGCATGCCGGCCAATTCTTCTCATCTCTGCCAGCCTTTGGATGTGGCTGTATTCTCGCCGTTAAAGCAAGCGTACAGCCGCCGGATTAAACACCTTATTCGAACCGGATATTACCATATTGATAAGGTTGATTTTCTTAACGTCTATCCAGACGCCCACATTCAAGTATTCAAATCCACGAATATACAAAGTGCCTTCAAGGCTTCCGGAATTGTTCCTTTTGATCCAAGCAAGGTTCTAGATAACTTTATCTTCTACAGGGAGGAGAGCCGGCCAAGTAGTTAAGGAACTACTTCAACCGTTACCAAAACACCTAGGAATTTAAAGTAATTTAAGAAATACGAGTTGTTGATATCTCAATTGCTTCAATACCCTGATCCTCCGGTTTCATTTATGCAAACTGCCTTATTATACATTGTTAAAGGTGTAGAGATAGCCTTGAACCGAGCGGCCCTTTTAGAACTTGAGAACTACCAACTCCGTGTAGCCGTTGAGAGGAAGAACACCAAGCAGAGGCGGAATCAGTATTAAATGGATAGTCTAAATGGCTTCACAATCCAGGAAGCCCGTGAAGCCTTTGCAAACGCCCAGGCTGCAGAGGAAGCAGCCGGTGATACAGGGCCTGCAGAGGGTCAACCTTGCCGCCGCGCGCCGCCTCGCTGCAGCATGTGTGGTGTTCTTGGATATACACGTACGAGGTGTTTAACAAGGAAGGATTAAGCACAATTGCAGGCGTTTAAACAGCTATATAAACGTTTAAGAATACTGCATTTTTTGTATGTAAATCAAAATTCTGATATGGGTGGCATAACCGGCTGCTTGCCAAGACTGCGGTGGCCGACTCGCTTACGTGGCCGACTCGCTTACCGATTATGTTACCGCTTATTACGTCAGGTGATTGGGGTATACTCCTGATTACTGCTGCCGGGACTGTACTTGCAACTACCGCCGGACATCTCCCACAATGGGAGAAGGAGAAGTGGGCTTGTCGCAAGCGAGCCAGCCCGCCTTATATCTTGACCAGGGGCAACGGAGCCCAGCATGCCGTTGCCATTCTCGGCAACTGTGAAGGCTTGAACCTGGAAGATATGGCATCGGGGTACCTCGAAACCGAGACTACTCTCCGGGCACGAGTTGATCTTGTGGTTCGGGCGATCCTGTGGACTAGTCTACTGATCTTTGCCACCTGACTGAAGACAAATTTATGGTATCTTCTGATCGTGGGCGTTCTCGGTATCTGTCAGAACGTCTTAGCCGCGGGGCTGGCGCGGACTCAGGAGCCCCTTGGAATGCCTCTGGACATCGAAAAGGCGTACGGTGGGAAAAGCGTGATGGGAACATTGAGGGCCGTTGAAGAAGAATACCGGGGCGTAGGCCACAGTATGCTGGGTGTATTCTTCCCTAATGGGATTAATTCTGTCGAGGAGGAGCAATGGGAGAAGATCGAGCGGGAGCGGGAGGAGCGCGAAAGGGGGGGGTGGCCCAAGGAGAGGAGAAGACGGAGCAAGGGGCCGCAGACGGAGGAGACATGGGAAAAGAAGGTCAGGAAGAAGAGGAAGAGGCGGAGGAGGCGGAGGAGGAGGCCGCCGAGAGCAGGAGGAGTACGTAGTCTACTCCTCGGCAATGGACCAACTATGTACGGTACCTGGAAGGTCACCCCGGCATCATGGATGACTGCCCGTGGCCCCGGCTCGGCAGACCGAAGCGAAGCGGGAAGAAGAACGGATACTAGGGATGTGGATTCTGTGTATTTGCGTATGTACTGTACGCCTGTTTAATCCTTATACCTGTATGTATTTGAGTGGATCTCTTGCAGTTTTTTAAACCAACCAAAAATCTATTTCCTTATTACTTAGTAACCAGAAGTACAGACTTTTTCGATTAAGATGTTGAACCAATCCCTGAGGAGCTTAGTGTGAGAAGAAAAAAATGCTGTATAAACCACTTTTTGCCTTACACGTATAAGATTCTAATTTTACAGAAGTACACGTAATTTGTATTCTTGTTTTCCATCCCTAACGGATACGCCCGGTTCATCAGAACATGGCCTCCGCATTCCGCACCGCATGGAGCTACAGAGTTTTGTCACTTCCTGTCAACTTCAGCCCCCGCTCCTGCATCTCTTCCAGTCCACAGCATCATCATGGAAACCGATCCCGGGTTTATCGCCGCTCTCGAAGAAGCCAAGCAAGGGTTAGCCGAAGGAGGTGTTCCCATTGGAGCTGCCTTGGTGTCCAAGGATGGTAAGATCCTCGGTCGCGGCCACAACATGCGCGTCCAGAAGGGCAGCGCCGTCTTGCATGTGCGTTTCCTATCCTTTGCTTTTCCCCTCTTCTTTTTTTAAAGGGCCTCGTTGCATTGTCGAACCCCTTACAATTGTCTACCCTGGATCTCGACTGCTGCTCTAGGTGTGTGAGGATTGTTGCGTTGGGTAAATTGCAGGAGCTAGCATGACGTAACTACTGACTGCCTGACTGACTGACTGATTGGACTGGAACTGCAATAGGCTGAGATGTCCGCGCTCGAAAACTCGGGTCGCTTGCCCGCTTCGGCCTACGAAGGTGCCACCATGTACACCACCCTCTCGCCTTGCGATATGTGTACCGGTGCCTGTATCCTCTACAAGGTGAAGCGCGTCGTCATTGGGGAAAATAAGAATTTCATGGGCGGCGAGGAATACCTTCTCAACCGTGGAAAGGAGGTGGTGGTCTTGAATAACAAGGAGTGTAAGAAGTTGATGGAGGATTTTGTCAAGGATAAGCCGGAGCTCTGGTAAGTCATGATATGATGGGACTTGATTTTGGTCTTTCAGTTTTGCATGGTATCATTTTGTTTGTCTCTACCGACATCTTTCTTTCGTGGTGCTTTTTGCGAGGATTTGGTCTGACTATATGATCCGAACAGGAACGAGGATATTGCCGTCTGAGTATCATTGTGCGAGAAAGGAATCGCAAATACGCTGCAATGAACATATCCAGAATGTATATAGTCGGGAGATTTGTATGAGTCATACCCACCCATCAAGCGACGGCCTTACGCCGCTGTCAAGCGGTGAATTTCCTCAAAGTAGAACCGGAGATCATCAGGGTTGACGAACGGAGTGATACCTAATCATTGCCAATGGTATCATCAGTATGTGAAAGAATCGAAGTCTGAAAGGTTAATCCTTACCGTGTCCCAAATTGGCGATCCAACCCTTCTTGCCCGGCCAGAATCCGCGAACCATGGTCTCCACGGCCTCGGTGATGGCCTCGCGAGTACCGTAGAGAACACCCGGATCGGCATTGCCTTGCAGCGTAACGCGACCGTTCGCAATCTTCTTGGCCTCCGCGGGATCATGCAACCAGTCCAGACCAACCACGTTGTAGCCCGACTCGCACAGATCCTCCAGAGCGAACCAAGCCCCCTTCGCAAAGACGGTCATCGGGACGGGCTCCAGACCCATCTCCGCCAGCTTCTTCGGGAGGTTCTGGGCGATATAGCGCAGATAGGGGAGGGAAAACCGGCTGAAGGCCACGGGCGACATCTCGCCGGCCCAGGAGTCAAACACCTGCACCAGCTGCGCACCCGCCTCGACCTGCAGCGCCAAGTACTCGACGCAGATCTCGGCGATCTTCTGCAGCAGAGCCTTGGACTCCTCGGCGTACCGGTAGATCCACTTCTTCGACTGAACGAAGAGCTTCGTGCCACCCCCCTCGACCATGTAGCACAGCAGTGTCCAGGGCGCCCCGCAAAAGCCAATCAACGGCACGCGACCCGCGAGCTTGTGGCGGGTGAGCGTGATGGCCTTGTACACATAGTCCAGCTCACCCTTGACGTCCACCTGCTTTTGCATCACCGTCTCGTACTGTCCATCGTCCGGCGATTGCAGCGGCTGCGGGAAGTGCGGACCCTTCTTGTCAACCATCTCGACCTGCATGCCCATGGCCTGGGGAATCACCAGGATGTCTGAGAAGATGATCGCTGCATCGATGAGTCCGGCATACCGCTCAATGGGCTGGAGGGTCAAGGTGGAGGCGATCTCGGGACTGCGACAGCATTCGAAGAAGTCGCGGTTGCCTTTCGCTTCGTGATATTCGGGGAGGTAGCGACCGGCTGCAGAAAGTCGAAGCTCAGAGTTAGTGACTGTTGGTTGCACGTTCCTAGATTCCGCACAGATTACGAATGGGAGAAGGCGTACCTTGCCTCATGACCCAGATCGGAGGGCGGGGCACCTCCTCACCTAAGAGAAAATTAGCTTTCTATGTTGGTGAGTGTATAGATAAACTTTGAGGTACCTCTGGCGGCCCTCAGCAAGAGGTCGTTCTTCAATGGCGCAAACTGCTCGGGCATTTTGGTTGTGAAAGGTATGTTGCAGGAGAGAGGACCCTGGGAAGGAGGGGTTTCCATGACATGCGCAAGTCCTGCCGCTCGGTGCCTCGGGCCGTCAATCGGCTGATCACCGCTGACTACGCGGAGCTTGCCCAAACGACCTGGATACTTGTATTATCGTAGGGCTACAAATCATACAAACATTTCTAGTATGGACGAAAAGGGCAGAGTTTCTTTGATTTATGTATGGATTGGATGCATTCTATTGCTAAAGCTATCATGTACCATGTTTTGAAGAATCTTCCCCTTGTAGACAATAGACTATCGGAAATAAATATCACAATATTCCCGATCCTCTACACCGTGCCAAACTTCTAACTACAGAGAGCTGCTGACAGTGACATACTGAGTATATTCTGCCAAAACACGAAGCTGGCCTTACGTCCTACGACGAACCAACGTGAACCTATTATGACAATTGTCATTAGCCATCCGATTGCCTCAAAAGTTCAAGGGACAAAAGTGAGAGAGTAACAAAGGTGTCAGCAAAAAATTAGAGTGTAAGTTGTTGCTGTTTTTGATCTTCAAAGCGATAGCTCCGAGTTAAAAAGGATCATCATTCACCCAGGAATGTTGTGCATGGGAAAGACTCTGTGAAGACAAATTGAGCTTACCTTCGTTGATTCATCAGACAATGGAGCGCAAACTACGTTCCATATCTAGATGAAGGTTTGACCATAACATTCTTGACCATGAAATCTTTTTCATTCATCCAATCGTCAAGATTGGTAAGAAGGATATCTAAAACATGGCGATCGTTTCACGTGTAGAAATGACGCGAGACGTTTAGTCAAAGAGACCGAAGCCCATGTCGTCATCAGACTCCTCAGCCTCCTCAGCGGCCTCCTCAGCAGCGGGAGCACCACCAGCGGCAGGGGCAGAGGCGTCAGCGGCAGGAGCGGCGGCAGCGTAAGCGTCGGGGTTGGCGATACGGTCCTTGAGCTCCTCAATCTCGGGCCAGGAGATCTCGGTCTCGATGGCAACAGCGAGAACCTTCTTGTAGCTGTTGACCACGGAGTGGATGACAGAGGGAAGGGTAGGGAAGTTAGCGGCCAGAGAGATGGTGGTGATGGTCTTGATGGCAGCGCTGAACGCATCGAGAAGCTGGGACTCCTCGATGTCGAGAACGTCGGAACCGAAGGTCTGACCCTGGTCGTAGACCTGAGCGATGGTCATACCGTAGGTGAAGGGAGAGATGTTGAGCATGTTCAACAGGGTGGCCTCGGAGGGGCCAACCTTGGCGCCAGCCTCAACGAGCTTCAGGTCGGTGGTAATTTCAATAGTACCACGAGCAATCTTGGTGGGGACACCGAGAGCCTGGAAGAAAGAGGTCTTACCGGGTTCCATACCGGTGTTACCAGCGGGAATCCAGACGTCAGCGGGGGCAACGGCACCAGCACGAGCAGGAGCAGCAACACGGTTGGCCAAGATCTTCTCCTTGGTGGACTTGAGGTCACCGTTGGTGAAGATGAAACCGACATTGCCTAATCAATTCTCATCAGCCAATTGTCTTCACGAGCACGTGAGAATATAAATACGTACCCTTAACGAAGGGAAGCAGGCGCTCGTACTCGGGGTTGTCGTTGACGAAGCCCTTGATGGCACGGCGAACCTGTGATTATACTGTTAGTATGCATCAACAGCAGAAGAGCTTGGGAAATGACATACCATGGTGTTCTTACCCATCAGGACGACACCCTCACCACGCAGAGAGACACGGATCTCGTGCATCTGCTGGGAGCTGACATTGTCGACACCGACAATGAAAACCGTCTTGTACTCATCGAGAAGGGCCTTGAGCTTCTCGAAGTAAGCGGCCTTGCTAGCAGACTTGCCCCCCATTTCTCCTTATTTCGCTGAAGAAAGGCTGTTTAAGGGCAAGGGAGAATTTCTTGACGTTGTTGTTGTCCGAATAAATCGAAACGTTGAAGTTCGAAAGAAACAACGCAACTGAGAATTTTGGGAAATCTTTACTCGGTTGTGGCCTCGCTAGCCGACTAATCACGTGAGCCCCGCTCCACGCTTAGCTTTTTTTGTCATTCTGAGGTAGGCGGTATCCCATGCGGTGACACTTTAGGCGGTGAGGCTTTTTTTTTCTGCCCTCCACCCACTCCTCTATCAAATCGCAAGTGGGGGAGCGCAAGGTTAAGTTCTGCGATTGTTACTGAGCCTATATACTTTAGGAGCTGCACCACCGTTCTTGGGCTCCGTCGACAGCATTGCATTATGGCTGTCAACTTTCAACACCCGTTCCAATGTGTCCAATTTGTGGAAAGACCGCAGGCCAAGCTTCTGCTTGCCTCCGCCGGCCCACGGCTGTATTCCTACTCTGCCGAGACCGGTCAGCGGCTTGCGAGCTGGCCGCAAGATACCAGCTCCAGTGACCACGAACCCCCAGAGAAGAAGAGGAAGGTCTCTATATCGGAAGGCGGATCTGCGGAAGTGTCTAGACCAGCAGAGGTGACAAAGGAACCGAAGCCCGCGCCTGCTTGGGCGAACATTCCCATCGTAACCAGCACGTCGAACGGTGACTATGTTATTGCTGTCACTGGGGAAGACAAGTGCATCCGCGTCTTTCAGCTCCAAGACGACGGCTCTTTCAACCAGCTCACCGAGCGGTAAGCGTAGTCCATGACACTGCATGCCGTGCTGAATGAGACCGATGTTGTATGCTAATGCATCCTCACAGCATCATGCCGAAACGCCCATCCTCCATCGCATTGACCAGCGACGAGACCACAATTTTATGCGCTGACAAATTTGGAGACGTTCACTCTCTCCCCCTCATCCCGAGTAGCGACAAGCCTGCCGTTGCTCCCAGACCGAACAGGGAGGCGAAACTCAGCCATCCTGCCGCAACCGACCTTACCGTGCACACCAAGGGCAACCTGAGAGCCCTGGAACAGCAACTTCTCCTCGCCAGCAAGAAGAAGGAGGAAGGGGAGGAGAAGTCGGGCCCGTCCTTCGAACACCACCTCCTGCTCGGCCATGTCTCGCTGCTTACCGATATGGTCTTCGTCTCTCTCCCCTCCGAAACCCAGAAGCGCACCTACATCCTGACCGCGGACCGCGATGAGCACATCCGTGTCTCTCGCGGGCCACCCCAGGCACACGTTATCGAAAACTACTGCCTGGGTCATACCGCCTTTATCAGCAAGATCTGCGTGCCGCAGTACGCCCCGGAGTATCTCATCTCCGGTGGAGGCGACAACTACCTGATCGTTTGGAACTGGGCCGAAGGTCGCTTCCTCCACAAGGTTCCTCTGGTCGAGGAAGGCTCCGCCACCGAGGTGGTTGTCCGCGGGATCTGGGCTCCGACGCTTGGGGACATGCGGCTCATCCTGGTCGCGCTTGACGGGTGAGTGCTCCCGATCAGAGCAATGCTGCTACGATCATGCAACACGTGCAATCAACTAATCCTCATGCTCCGCCAGGTCCCCCCGCCTCCAATGCTTCACCCTACAAGCCGACGGCTCCCTAAAGCCCCAGACCCACATCGAACTTACCGGCAATGCCCTAGCCGTGACCAGCATCGAGAAAGATAACACGCTCGTCATCTCCGTCGACTCGATCCGCACCGCGGGTTCGATCCAAGAGTGGCGCGCCAGCGCCTCCGCTCCGTCCACCATGATTGAGGCAGTCCGTCCGCAACGAAGCGCAGAGGGGTCGCTGAGTTGGGAACCGACCCTGAAGCCCGTGACCGACGCGATCAACGCCGCGGGTTCCACGGAGGTCTCATCTACCATCGAAGACAAGAAGAAAGGCGAGCTGAATGATTCGTTGTATGCGATGAGCAAGGTCCGGAAGACGCTGAAATGGGAGGATGAGTAAAAAGCATCTGAACATATATACCTACATCCTTACCCAATGCTGCTGGCTAGAGACCGTGTAAAAGTCTATGTTAATGTAACTGTGGAATAGTTCAATGTACATATGCATATAATGGATTAACATCACCAACGGTTGAAAGATCGTCCCCTCGTTCTTCGCCGTCATAACTCTTGCGCGGGAGTGCTTTTACCGCCAACTCTCAGGACGTAGGTAGCAAAGTAGATCATTTTTGAGGCCTGTATCGAATCCAAGAGGGCATAAGAACGTTATTGTCATAGCCCATGGGTGGGGTACCTTGATGCACCCACGGTACCAGATAAATATCGAGCGGAAGATCGCCCCGCGCAACCCGTTCTTCCTCACCAGAATTGAAACGCCATGGTTCATATACGAGATTGGAATGATCCGAGAACAGCCTCGCACTATCCAAAAACGTTGGAAAGCCACCCAGCAGACGAGCTAAGTGGTCGGCCCAGAAGCAGAGGTGATCGAATGATGCAGTGTGATGCCGTCAGCACTTCCACTTTCAATCTTCCGTCCCCGCCGGCCGCATACCCACTGCCGATGAGGATTCTCAAGGACACCAAGCAATTCGGTTCTCAAGATCATCTCTGTGGGTCAAAGACCGCGGATGTTGTCGATATAAAATGGCATGGTCTTTTTTTGGTTTGAACTGCTGCTGTGCATGTTCACAGCACGCTGTAAGGCCGTAAGGTAAAATTGAAGCATACTCACAGCAAATCCTCCCTGAAAAGAGGTAGGCCTATTCATTATAAGGCTCATGTCCGTGAGACACATGCACTATGAATGAAACTTACGAAGAAGAGGAAGGAGAAATTATATTCATATGTACAGTAACTACATCAGACCGACCGGAAACAAAATCACCCATCGTCCCCACTCCGGCCAAACCTACCCCCGAACCCGCCCAGATCACGGCGGAAGAACTTGCCGATATTCTTCAGGTTCTCGTTCAGATTAGCAGCAGCGCTACTCTCTGCGCCGGGGTTATTCGGGGCCGCCGAGCCCACGAGATTGGGCGTAGAGGAGGCTGAGGTGAGGGTGGCTCCGCCGGCAGCACCGGAGGCCGCGCCCCCACCTCCGGGGAGCATGCTACCTGACGAGCTGCTCATGGGGGTTCCGAAGCGGTCGACGCCGTCCTTGGCGGCGGAGATGAGGGCGGAGCCGAGCATGGATGCGTCGAAGCGAGAGGGAAGGTTCGTGGCGCCGATGGACGCGGCGGCCGATCCGAGGCCGAGGCCCTGAGAGACGGAGGTGGAGGTCGGCGTGGTGGTGGATTGCAAGGCGGTCAGCATAGGGTTACTCTGTTGGAGGTTGGATGCGTAGCGATCGGATGCCCGGTGGATCTGGAAGAGTTCCAGGAGGTGATTCTGCTCCTGGCGGCTGCGGATGCCCTTCATGTCGAGAATCTTGCGGAAGTTGGTGTTATTCTGGTCGGCGATGTGGACGAGGTAGGCTTGCACGAGGGCTTCGGGGGGCGAGGGTTGCACTTGGACGGTTTTGAGGAGGGCTTCGATCTTAGCGAAACTGTTGTTGACGCGCTTGACGAAGCCCGCGGGAGCGGGGCTGGGAAGGAGTGATGAAAGGCCAGTCTTAAGGGCATAGGCATCGAGGAGCATCTAGAAGATGGTGGTTATTGGCTGGGCAGCTCTCGGGTGCGGACCTGAGGGAGAAAACTTACTTGCTCCGCTCCAGTCTCTGCAATAGGTTTGGATTGAAAGATATTAGTGATGAAGAGGTTTGAGATTAGCTCTACAGTGTGGTCTGCGAAAGCCCGGGCATACTGCTGCTTGTGTAGCAGCTGTAGGGTCTCTGAACATTTCGTCTGAGTCTTAGACAGGAGTTCGCCCACGTAGGAGCTCTGGTCGCTGACACTTTCCAATCGGCTCCAGGGAATATTGCGCATTTCACGCCAACAGGGCTCCAATTCGATCTCAACCCTTCGCACGAGACCTCGAACGGTCGCGGACGCGATCCCCATGAAGGTGTCGGCCTGGCTCTGCAGGTCCACTGACTGCTTGAGTGCCTTATCCAGCCTCCCCTTGATCTTCTCTTCCAACTGGTTGCAGGTCGTGTAGCAGTAATCTGCGGTGTTGAGAACCAGGATCAGATCCTCGAGATTGGCGACTTTGGACGGTGTGTGTCCGGTGGGACGTTCACTGATATAATAGAGAAGTACCTGTTGCGCGTACTGGTCCAGATACTTTGCAAAGACCTTTGCCAGGTCTGCAAGGCTTCCGCCGGTGGATAACTTTGCACATTGCTGTAAAGCATGTCGGTAGAAGTTGAACAGGTCCGTCGAGGAGGATATAACTATATGAGAGTCGAACTCTTCATCCGGCGGCTTCACGGGTTGTTGCCGGTACTTGGGTATAAGCGCAGCCAGCTGCTTGTCCTGAGCCTCGACCCACACGCTGAGATAAGGCTCGAAAGCCTCCGATATGGCCTGACCAAATACAGGCGCCTCGCTCGATGCAAATGTGTCAGTGGAGGGACGGGCGGGGGTCACAAACCGCCGCTCAAGAGAATGTTCAAATTCCAAGGTCTCTTGCAAGCACGACAGCAACAGATTGACGTCGATCGTTTGACCATTGCGCACCGAGCGGGAGAGGATGCCCTTGAAGTCGTCCCTCGTTCCTTCACAGAAGATGTTGGCCAGGATCTCGTTGACCTTCCAAGCTGCGGGAAAGATGGGCGCGTATTCCTCATCGTAGATCTTGAGGATGCGCCTAAACCAGGCATACCGGCGAGAAATGTTATCCAAGGACCCAGCCTCCTCATTATTTCTGAACACTTGGCGATACTCGCGGAGTTGGAAGTTACAATACCAGGTCACTAGCCGGGATCTGGCATGGTCGCCCAGCGCATCCATGACCAGACATCCTTCCGACAGTGTTGACCTCTGCAACCCTACTTCTCCCTTCGCGAATGCCAGCTCGAAATCCTCGCAGACCTGTTCCAACAGTTCGCGTTGTATATCTGCGACGTTCTTACTGAGAAGCGCAATTTGATCGATCGACCGGTACGACTTGAAATGCGCCATGAGCTGGATTACCGCCTGCAGCAGCTGAGCACAGTCCCTGTATTGTCTGGTCCGACTAAGGGCGCGTAGCTGGTCGTAGGCCGTAGTCAGCATCTGCAACCGCTTCAGCGCTGTCATGGACAGGGTGAGATTCTTTTTCGCGTTGTCTAATTGCTTGATATCCGCCGTCATCTCCGTGATAGCGAGCTCGGTCTTGGAAGCGCGGTCGCGCACGTCGTCGATCTTCTTGAAGAGATCGGTCAAATCTGCTTTGGCGGCCTGAATGCGCTCGACGCTTTCCGCATTGGACGTAACCTGGTCCTCGACCAGGCCACTGATGTCGTCGTCGAGCTCATCTTCATATGCGCCGAGGGACTGGGACACTTGTGACACGGAGGACAGCGTGGAGGGATGGGAGAAAATCGCGTTGAGATGGTCGATAGGATCGTAATCAGCTAGTGCAACACTGATGGTCAGCTAGGTTTTCCCAGAGTCGGAACTGAAGGGTTGACAGCTCGTCCGCTCACCTGCATCTAAGGGGTCAATATCGGCCGCTCCGTTGGAGGGCATTGAGGCGGTGGTAGCGGTAGTGGTGAACATTCCATTAGCTCTTCAATACAGACGCCAGACGCATGCTGCAATGCCAGCTTGAGGGTAATCGTCAGTCCAACATGCACACAAACAAAGAAAGACGGGGTCTGAAAGAATGAAAGAGCAGGAGGAGGATTGGTGAGCTCCAGCCCCGATTAACTAATGAGGGGCGGGGAGTCTAGGTTGTTGGTTCGGCGGAGCTCACAAAGCGCGCGGGCGGCGGGAGTCCGGCAAAGTCGCCTCGAGTCTGGTCGTAGCGTTCGGGCAGGGGATTTATGATTTATTATAGTGCGCAACATGGAACATGCCTAGTTAGTTTTCGATCTGCACCGGTCACGATGATTATCTACAACAATGATAGAAACTTCTCTTCTCTCTCTCTCTCTCTCTCTGATGGATAGGTAGGTCACCTCTTGTGGATAATAAACTGACCTGGGGGTGTTACTCTCCAACCCCAAGGGCTCTTTCTTCATGGACATCATATTTCGTGGGTTTTATTAATACACAACAGGTTAAGATAAAATGAAAACTAGTTTCACTATCACAGTATTCAGCCCGATTCCCATTCGCCCGAGCCATGCAATAAGCGACAGAAACAGAAGAAGAGAAAATCAGGCCAAGGCGAAGCAAAATTCTGACTCCAAACAGACGCCATTGAAAGTCTAAAAAAGTGCGAATGAAATTGGTCGTTCTAATAAAAGAGAGGAAATGCGGTGTTGGGTAACTCAAAGGGTTCCAGGTAGAAAAGCCTCAGGGGGCAACGTTCCCTGTTCCTGTAGAACCGTTAGCATGAGCGTCTTGCCAGAAAGATCCGGTGGATGGATGGTCTTACCTTAAGCTTGGCGACATCCTGTAAGGCCTTATCCAAATCCCAGCCATTTCCGCTGATAGCCAATTGAGAATATTGCAGCGTCATCCCTGTCTGCTTCATGACCTGCAGTATCAATTGCTCTTGTTGCACTTGAGTCTCATTTTTGCCAGGCCCAGGCATGCCATATCCTTCGGGAGTGGCTGGTGGTGCCGCCACCTGTTGAGGAACAGCTGCCTGATCAGTAGGCTGCGGAGGAGCTGCTTGCTGAGCCGCTTGCTGAACGGCTCCCTCAGCTTCTGGAGCCCATGCTTCATTGCCGCCATACGCGCGACAACACAGAATATCGTTGATGACTCGTACTCCACCTGCACCACCGCCAGGACCCAAGACGAAAGTTCTGTCGAAGCTCCGCGTGTCGATCTTAGACCCCTTGCCGACTTCGTCATACTTTCCGTGCACCGTGATCAGAAGACCGCCAACGCCGGTAGGACTCTGACCGGTCGGATCGACTAGACCCGGAATCGGATAGCACTCAATTAGCCAATCTTGAGGATGCGCTGCGATATCTGGATGTCTTGTAACCGGAAGACTGTTCCATAACTTGCGAATTTTCTCCGCACCGTTATGCGTGCGAGACATTCTGGCGGTCAAATGCGTGATTCTGAGCAAGTTCCTGCTGTTCTTGATGTACGCATCCCAGGCGGCGACATCAGCTTGATGGGCCCTGGGAGCGGCGGTGTTGATGTTGAGAGTGAAGGTGGATTCATTGTCGTATACGCTATCGAGGAGACCGTTCCGGTCATTGTCGTAGCCCGAAAAGAAAGCTCTGATGAAGTTTTCGGCAATGCAGCCCTCATCCCGGAAGTACGGTGCCTGGACAGGGATTGGCGACTTCTTCAGCGCCGCCAATTCTTCAGCTGTCCGCACTTCAATACCGTTCAAAACTCGGAGTTTAAGATACCACTTCAGCATGGTATCCTTGAAAGTGGGATCGGCGCTGAAAGGATTGTTGGAGAGGTCGAGGAACTCGAGGTTTTCGAATTTGTGGCGCCATCCCAACAAGGACTGTGCGTCCTTGAAGTCGTTGTTCGAAAGGTCGAGGTTCTTCAAGTCTGGGAAAGTTTGCGCCAAAGTAGTGACCATCTTGAGGTTCGCAAGCTTATTGTCCCTGAGACTGACGCTCTCGACCGCCTGGCGACGTGCGGCAGCGCTGTCGAAAATCAAGCTGAGGTTCAGCTCCCAGACCTTCATTAGCGCGGGGAAGAATTTCGATTCAGTTGATGTGCTCTGGAAAATACCCATGGCTATGAGGTCCGGATCGTTGTGTAGGTCCGAAAGGTTGAGCAACTTGTTTTCTCGGTCAAAACGCTTGGCGAGGAAGGCAGTCATTTTAGCCTTCGTGTCGGCGGCCGAGGGCGTGCTACCATTAGCAGACAGCACCGACTGATCCAACAGCGCGCTCTCGGCGTCATCACATTTTTCAATCGTCAAAGGAGCGCCTGCAAAGCTAAAGCCGTTGATCTTAAGCATCCTGTCCAACAATTCTGGCTTGATAGACACTATAAGCGCGTCGCCTTCGACCCGCGACTAGTGAACGTTAGTAAGGCGCAAGAGACCTCTTCGTAACCCGCGATCATCCCAAGGAAGAAATGCCAAATGAGCCTAAGCAAGTGTCGACCATCGTTCTGGAGGTACCATCACTGAAAACGAGAGCACACCGGAGAGGACGACGCTGGTGATAACTCATGTCGATAATCGCAAGTTCTGGTGTTGCACATACCTTTGTGATCCTTGCGCGTGCGCTATTTCTTGCGTCGGGGGTGCTGATTTTTTTCTCGAGGAAGCCGATTAGGCTTTCTAGGCCGCCGTCGGGATTCGACGCGGCCTTACTCTGCTTCCAGCCACGGACGCTAACATGTTCCAGGTTACTGGTCCGGCTGCCTTGACGAATATTTGCTTGATGCGAATCCGAGTTGCTAGTAATAGCCTTTTGAATGGCGTCTAGAGCCCGGCTAGACGTCTGAGACCGTGTTCCAGACGAGGCGCCAGCGCGGCCAGAATCACCACGACCCCTTTTCGCACGGGTTTGAGGTGTGTTTCCATCCATTACCAAGTCACCTTCCCGATCGACCTTCTTAGCAGCACCCCGCTTGCGGATGCCTCCGCGATCCGAAGCGCTGGGGCGGCCTCGAGCCTTTCCGTTCTTCATAGTGGTGATAAAAGGAAGATTGTGTTTGGTTGATTGTTTTCTCGTGAGAATTGTAAGCTGGAAAGGAATGGGAGTGGTCGACGATGGCGCGAGAGGTTTTTGTAGGCAGGTGCAGCGCCGCGCGCTTTGTCGTCCGAAACTAGCCAAGCGGCATTCGATGAAAGACGTTGAAAGAAACCGCTTACGAGGTCAAGTGGATGAGATGAAAGAAAAATCTTTTGATTCGGCGTTCTAAATTTTGGGGAACCCTTGGTGCGTGTGGGAGAGAGAACCGCCAGTCACCCTCGGAGCTGAGTTATGAGGGAGGGGAATAATAATGAGTGCAATAGAAGCAGAAAGCAAAAGCGACAATGACAAGTTCGAGTCAGCAGAAAAAGTGACGTGCACCACCGAAAGTAGTCGTGTCACGTGAGACGACATCTGGCTGCAGATTGCGACGGGCTATCACGTGATCTGCAGTCAGGTACTGTGGCCCAGCGCATCCAATCAGGCTCTGTAGTCTGTCCTTTGACATTCTGCTGGTAATACCGGCGTATCGATTCACGGACGCGGGCAGGCAATAATACTGCACTATTCCCCACAGGGTAAAATTGCAACAATACAGTACTCAGTTCGTCCGTTACCCGCAGTGTCCTGTAGTTCTCCGCTACAGCTAACAGGACAGCTTGTTCCAATTGAAGTTGCACGCCAGTCGTCACTGCCAGTTGAGGGGCTCGCTTCGTGCTGCTTACTGTGCTACCTCAATCATTCATTCAGTTTACTCAGGTAAGTATTTCTCTGATTAGACCCTAACGATCGGCCAATTGGACGTCCTCAACTGGTTAAGCTGACATACAATCCCAGCCGATAGACGCCCTGCCTTTATCGCGGGCACTAACTGGCTCACCGAAGACCGCGACCTTGCACATATTCGACGACCTCTCCGCATGGTCGTCAAGCACGTTTGAGAAATGGCGGCGAAATCACGATTTACACGGTTAGATGCGTTCGCCAAAACGGTGGAAGATGCTCGCGTCCGAACCACGTCTGGTGGAGTCATCACCATAACCTCGCTACTGGTTATCTTCTGGCTTGTATGGGGAGAATGGGTGGATTACAGGCGCGTGGTGGTCCTGCCCGAGTTGGTGGTGGATAAGTCAAGAGGTATGACAATAAAGTTCACTCTGCTGGATGACAGGAACGAAGTGAGGCTGACTTGATGACCTTCGGCGCATTGTAGGAGAGAAGATGGAGATTCATCTCAACGTGACCTTTCCCCGGCTCCCTTGCGAGATGTTGACCCTCGATGTTATGGACGTGTCAGGCGAGCAACAGACTGGCGTGGCCCATGGCATTAACAAAGTGCGCCTGACTTCAGAGGCCGAAGGAGGCCGTGTGATTGACGTGAAAGCTCTAGAGCTGTAAGATTGGGATTCCCTAGTCCTTTCTTGATCTTCATCCCTGACCAATCCTCTTTTGATCAGCCATTCCTCAAAGGAATCCGCGAAACACCTGGACCCCGACTACTGCGGCGAATGTGGTGGCGCACCCGCACCGGCTGGCGCCATCAAGGCTGGATGCTGCAATACCTGCGAAGAGGTCCGCGAAGCTTATGCCCAAAAGCAATGGGCCTTTGGCAAGGGAGAGAACATTGAGCAATGTGATATGGAGGGATATGCGGAACGCATCGATGCACAGCGTCGGGAAGGCTGCCGCCTCGAGGGAGTTCTCCGCGTAAACAAGGTGATCGGTAACTTCCACATTGCGCCCGGGCGCAGTTTCACCAGTGGTAACGTCCATGTGCACGATCTTGCGACTTTCTTCGAGCCCAACCTGGCCGAGAACGAGAAACATACCATGACCCACGAGATTCATCAGCTTCGATTCGGACCGCAGCTGCCTGACGAGCTGTCAGATCGCTGGCAATGGACAGACCACCACCATACAAACCCCTTGGATAACACTAAGCAGGAGACTAGCGAGCCTGGGTACAATTTCATGTACTTTGTCAAGGTGGTTTCGACATCGTACCTCCCTTTGGGCTGGGATCCGCTATTCTCGTCTTCCATCCACAGCGCCTATGACAAGGCCCCTCTCGGTGCCCACGGCATTGCCTATGGAGCAGAGGGAAGCATCGAAACCCATCAGTACTCGGTGACCTCCCACAAGCGGTCTCTGCGCGGTGGCGATGCCTCAGACGAAGGTCACAAGGAGCGGCTCCACGCTGCGAACGGCATCCCAGGTGTTTTCTTCAACTACGATATCTCCCCGATGAAGGTCATCAACCGCGAAGCTCGCCCTAAGACGTTCACTGGATTTTTGACTGGAGTCTGCGCGATCGTTGGTGGCACTCTGACTGTGGCAGCTGCCATCGACCGTGGGCTATATGAGGGTGTCAACAAGATGAAGAAGCTTCATTCGAGCTGAGACTATCTCTATTGCCCTTATAGTAGCCCGCAAGGGATTCACAAGTAGAAATGGAGAAAGGAAAAAAAAAAAAAAAAAAAAAAGACCAAAAGACTCGGGGAGCCTAAAGGGAAACCAACAGCGTTGAGGGTAGAACAGTTGCGCAGGAGCGTCAGCAAGGCAAGGGCACTCAGGCAGTCCAGGCGTTTTAGGTCCATTGGTACACATGCAATCATATCTATTCCATTTTGTTATTCTAAACTAAGCAATTTTACAATTGAAGTCAGCTGAGTCTTGAGTTGACATATCTCATGGGTTAAAATTATAATTAGTTATGCATCAACATAATGCAATGTTGAGGTCCTGTGGCGAGTGCTTGGGTGAAAACCAAGTATGGATAAACCAAGCCGGAGCCACCGCTTATGACGTTACGCATGTCGCAAGGAGCAGGAAATCCTCGGCGCACGCGACAGATTGCACTTCCTCAAACCTTCTTTCCCCTTAGAATTATGTTTTCCTATAACCCAAGGATACCATGTTCGCGCTCTGTCGGAAACCCAGACCCTTATTCCGTGCGGTTGAGCAAATTCCATCACCTCCCCGCCATCCCCTAAAACCCGGGTTATGCTATACTACAGCTCGAACCAAAGCGTCAACTACGCCACTACCCGCGCGCCAATTTCCAACCTCAGGCTTCGCAAAACTTAATCCGTCTACGGCATACGAAGAAGAGCAGCTCCCATTCTATAAAGCGGAATGCTTCTATCCCGTCCGCATCGGCGAGGTTTTCGCGTCCAGATACCAGGTCGTCGTGAAGCTCGGATACGGCACCTCATCGACTGTCTGGCTTTGTCGGGATCT